TTTTTTTTTTTTTTTCAACCTGCACCGGGTTTTTGGCCAACCGGGGCGTAGAGGCCTCGACTTCTTCGGCGCCCCAGGGCACCCCCCAAAAAAAACCCCCCCACGAAAACCCCCGCGCCCCCCCCCACGCCCCCCCATGTCCCCCCCCCCCCGCCCCCCCAGGTCCTGCTCGGCCTCGTCGCCGGCGGCGCCGCCGAGCGCCTCGAGGAGCTCGACGACGAGCAGGCCGTCCAAGCCGCCGTCGGCGCGTTGCGAGGCATGTTCGGCGCCTCCGTGCCCGAGCCGCGCAAGCACGTCGTCACTCGGTGGGGCGCCGACCCGCACTCGCGCGGCTCGTACTCGTACGTCGCGGCCGGCGCGCGCGGCTCGGACTACGCCGTCGCCGCCGAGCCGGTGGGCGGCCAGCTCTTCTTCGCCGGCGAGCACACGAGCGTGGAGCACCCGGCGACGGTGGTCGGCGCCTACCTGAGCGGGCTGGCGGCCGCGACGGCGGTGCACAAGATGCTGCGCAAGAAGGCGGCCGGGCCGGCGGCCCCGCAGCAGCAAGAGGTGGAGCGGCGCGCGGCGAGCCCGCCGCCCTCCAAGCGCGCGGCCGCTCCTCGGCGCGAGCCCGCGTCGGCAGGCAAGCGGAGGCGGCGGCGGTGAGCCCCGCGAAGGGCTCGATGCTCGTACACTGCTCGTACACGCAGCGCCAGCGGCCGCACCCTGCCAATAAGGCCGTTGCGGCTGCGCGTCGTTTACTGTGGTTCCAGGAGTGGGTTTTGGTGTTGGTCGCGATGCGCACGTGGATGCACACATGCGTGTGAGTATGAGCGGAGAGGGGAGCGAGGTGTCGAAATCTAAAATGATTTGAAGAAAACGTAAAAAAGAAACGCCGGTCTCGCTCAAAGTGAATCGGGACCCGCCAGCTGGACCGCCGGCGCCACCCCCGACCCACCAGAGCTGTCAACACGAACTCACTGACGGACAGTCAAGACAGTCAGGCATCAATGCTGGCGTACGCTGCCTCTCTCCTGCTCTCCTCCGCCGTGACGACGCCTCTGTGCACTCTTTGCCCGCCGATGGTGCCTCACCTCACGCGGCCGAACGCAAAGGTGCTTCACCTCGTCGCGGGCGGCGAGGCCCGCTCGTCCCTCGCGACCGCCACGCAGGACTCGGTCGAGCTTGCGGTGTGCACGGCAGCAGTTGAACCGACCGCGCGGGCGTTCTTCGGCCGGCACCATGTGTTGGCCGCTCTTGAGCAGTGGGAGCTAGCTCTGCAGAATGGCGACAGCGGCGAGGAGGAGGCGGCCGCTGCGTTGAAAGAGATTCTCGCGCTGCCTGAGCGTGAGATTGCCGTCGTCTCGGACCCGCGGCTGCTGCACCACTGGACGAACGCCGGCCAGCAGCCACTCGCGGCCCAGCCGCACTCTCTCCGGCTCGACCCGCGCCTGCGCCCTGCAACCCCGCCCGCGCCAGGGTACGCCGCGGAGGAAGCACTGCAGGCGCTGAGCGATCAGCCGCCCCTCGTCGGCTACCCCTCGCCTCACATGGAGCGGATGCTGCGGCCGCCGTTTGAGGACGGCGAGTTCCGAATTGTCGTGGCGGTGCCGCCGCCGAGCTGACCGCAGCGGTGAGCGGCATACACGCGCATCGCGCAAGCATGCGGTTTCCGGTGTGACGGGGTAGCCCTGGCGGGCGGGAACGGTCGGTTGCGGCAGGTTTCGACTCAAGAATGAATAAAAGACATTCAACGCCGACGGGAGGGCACCCCCCCAGAGCCCAGACAGCCAGATAGCAGATTCCCGAGACGCGAGAGAGAGACGGGAGAGCGAGACCAGACGCCAGAGCACCCTAAGAGCACGCGCGAAGTCACGCGGCGCGGAGACGCGCACCAGACCCCGCTCCGGCCTCTCGCCAAGCGGCAAGTGGGGTCTAGCTACAATGCTGTCTTGAGGTCCGACAGGTTCGGCACCGGGCACCGACTCGGTATACAAAAATGCGCGCTGCGGGCGGACCCTCACAGCTGTCGACGCGATGTGGCATGTGCAAAGCGGCCCTGCAATTGCCAAAGCAAGATAAGAAGAGGAGTGTCGGGAGAAAAGAAGAGGAAAGACACCAGTGATGACCAACTAGCGCAGACGAGAGCAGGGCAGACCCGGGACGCCGGGGAGAAGACGGCGTCGGCCGCCGAGGGAACGTTGGGAAGAGGCACGAGGAGGGCGGCGACCTCGACCGACTATGGAGGACCCGTCGCCAGACGACGCAGGGCAGACGACGGGGAGGCGGAGCAGACGCGCAGGGCGAGACGAGGGAGGGAGCAGGACTTTGCGGAGATCAGCGGGAGGATGTACGAAGAGATATAGGAGCCGTCCAAGTGCTCCAGCAGGGACCCGAGGGACCATTGTGGAAACGGCCAGTGCTAACTGCTAAGTCCCCCATCGAGCATCGTGAGGACGACCCCGGCTAGTCGCCGACCACACCCACAAAGAACCCTGCACAAAGATCGCACGGGCGGGGACCTGTTCCTTTTTTATTACCCATCTCCTAGTAGAGCGGTCCGTTTTTCTTTCTTTGTTAATTCACAGCTCACAGCTCACTCACACAGAAGAGGGGAAGAAATGTCCGGAAGGCTGGCGCCTGATATGCTGCCTCCTTGCGGTTGCTGCCGGCGAGCCTGGCGGTCCGCTGCACTTCAAGGAAGGAAGTGCTTGCTGTGTGTGTGAGTGTAGGTGGGAGGCACCGAGGCGTCTAGGGCGCTCCACTCTACCTTAAGCTCCTGAGGGGCGCGTGGTTGTAACCACGTAGTATGACTACAGCCCACCACAGACACTCCCCACTCCTCACGTGTGCACACTCCCTCACCCTCTCCTCTCTCCTCTCTCTCTCTCCTCTCCTCTCTCTCTCCTCTCCTTGTCTGTGCTGTCTGCCTGACTCAGGCACTCAATCTGCCGATGCGTGATTGTGTGTGGGCTGCTCCGAGGGGGCCCTGTGCGATCCGACGGGTAGGGAGTCTGTGCCCGGGCGGTGTCCGGTGTGGAATCTTTCTCTGATCCCGCCTGTGATGTTGGGTGCGAGGTCGTGGAAGCCTTGATCCCAAGGGGGGGAGCCGATCCCACTCGTAACCAACTCTCAGGGGCAGTAGGTGGGCGAGCCTCGAGCGCGCTCATCTCGATCGTCAAGGCGTCGCTACGCGCGGTCTTCCGCGGGGGGAGCTTCGTCGACGGGTGCGGGACCGCGGCGCAGTCAGTGCCGTGGCGATGCCTCCGGCTGTTGCGGCGGGCGGCTTGCTGCTCGCGGCGATGGCGAAAAACTCGTCTCGTGGCACACCAAGAGCTTATGCTCTGGCGAGATGTGAGGCGCATGCGCCCAGGAGGGGAGGGCGCATGCGTAACGACGCTGCTAGAGATGCCTTTCGGGGCCCAGAGATAAAACTTCTGATGCCATGCGTGACCTAGTAGTGTCCCCAGCTATGGGCGTGTCCACGTTGGAGCCAGGGGTGTGGGCGCGAGAATAGCTCCGCCGTTCATGGAGGCAACCGATACGATTCGACTGGTGTGTGTCGTCGTGGTTTCGTATCAAGAATACTCACTCACACACACACGAAGTGCTTGCTGACTCGATGCCCCCCCGCAATCTTCTACCCGTACAAACTGGAACGCGCGAGGACCAGCGGGTCCTTCAGGCTTCAGCCACCAAAGCGGAACCCGGAAAAGAAAGAAAGAAAACGGACAAGCCGCACGAATTCTTTTTTTCGAGTGAGTCACTGAGTTTTACCTTGTGTTCTCCTCAGCGGCGTCCCTTTGATGCGCTTGCTGCTCTTGTCGACCGCCCTCGCTGGGGCGGCGGCGCAGAGCAGCCCCTTCCCGTCGATCAATCAGACTGGCACGCTCGAGCTTGGGCTCCCGAAGCTCGGATTTTCGGAGCCGGGCTCGCCGTCCTTCTTCACCGTGCCTTTCAACGCCAGCCGACAGCTCCAGCTGTACCTCACCCCCCTGTCGGGCAACGTCGACTTGTACGTGTCGGCCGTCGATCCGAAGCCAAAAGGCGACGAGTGGTCCGGTGGCAGCAGCGACTTCTCGACGCATCTCTACACTTCAGACAAGGCGGGCCTCGAGGCGGACTCGGTCACGATCGAGGCCCGGGCGCTGTGCGGAGACGCGGGCGCCTGCCCGGAGGAGGTGCACGTGGGCGTCGTGTCCTCGCCGCTGGCGGTCGCGGCGGCCCTCTTCCAGCTCACCGCCACGCAGCTCGACACCGACTCGTCCGCCTCTTCCGGCACCGCCGTCACCTTGTCGGCTGGCCTCCCTCTCGATGGCTCGCTCGCAGAGACGGAGGAGGCGCACTACATGTTCGTCGTGCCAAACGCGTCGGACGACACCGTCCTCACACTCACCGTCATCACCGCGGGCGATCCGGACCTCTACGTCTCCGTCGGCCCCGCCCTCTCCGACCCAGCTGAGCAGCAAGTCTGGCCGACGGCGACAAGCGGCGCCCGCTGGTCGGGCAACGCATTTGGCGGGGAGCGGTTGCTCGTCCCGGCGGCGGAGCTGCGCGAGGAGGCCGCCGGCAGCTGCGAGCAGCCTTCGGGCTGCGCCCTCTTCCTCTCCGTCGTCGCCTACTCGCAGACAGGCCGAACACCTGCCCCGCCTGCCCGCACCCCGCCTGCGCACCAGATGCCTGCGCAGCAGAGAGGCCCCGTGAGGAGGGGGCGAGGGGGAGGGGGCGAGGGGGAGGGGGCGAGTGGGAGGGGGAGGGAGGGGGGGGGGGAGGGGGCGTTGCTGCCGGGGGCGGGGGCGGCGGGTCCCGAGAGGCTGCGGGTCGCCTGGTGCTAGGCTACGAGCTGCTCGCCGAGCAGAAGTCCGCAGAGCACCCGACGGTCTTACGCGCCAACCGGCCAGCGTCCAAGCAGCTCGAGGCGGAGGGGTGGGCCTTCTTCGACTACCCCGTGCTCGCAAACGCGACGGGCGTCCTCCTCACGCTCACCTCCCTCTCGGGCGACGCGGACTTGTGCGCCCCTTATCCTCCCACCCCTCCGCCCCTGCCCTACAGCCCCGACAGCCCCCAACACCCCAAGCCCAGCGCCGACGGGTGCGGCGCCTCTGCGGCAGGTTCGCCTCGTGGAGCCAGGCGCGGCCCGGGATCGGCTCGCTCTCGGACGACACGTACATGTCGCAGAGCACCGAGGCGGTCGACATCATCCGCATCGAGGCTGGCGGCGAGGACTGGCCGACCAGCCTGCCCGCAAAGCTGCACGTCGGCGTGCAGGCCTACGGCGCCGCGGCCGAGTTCACCCTGCTTGGCGCGGAGCCGGGAGGCACGGCGGCGACGGTGCTCTCCGCGGGGCAGCCGCTGGTGGCGGAGCTGCGCGGCGGCGACTGGCTCTGGTACTCCTTCACGCCTGCGGCCGAGGGCGTGGGAGCCATCACCTTCACGCTCACGCCGCTGTCGGGCGACCCGGACCTGTACGTCTCACAGGAGCCAACCTTCTCGGCGTCGGAGCGGTGGACGTGCGCCGAGCCCCTCTTCGGCGCGCCCACTTGCGCCGCGTCGCTCGAGGCGGCCGGCGCCACGGACCAGGTCGTCTTCTTGCCGGGCGACCCGCTCTACTGCACGGCCTGCACCTACCGCGTCCTGGTCGCTGCCGCAACCTATACGAGCTTCTCCATCCTCGCGCAGGTGGGGTCCGTGCCGGGCGGCGGGTCCGTGCTGGGCGGCGGAGGCAAGGGCGGCGGCGGCGGCGGCACCGACGACGCGCCCGTCACGGCGCTGCTCCCCAACATACCGACGCGCGGCAGCGTCAGCGCGAACGAGTACAGCTTCTACCGCGTGCCGGTCAGCTCGACCAACCGCTCGCTCACTGTGCGGCTGACGAGCCTCTCGGGCGACCCGGACCTGTACGCGTCCTTCTCCGAGCTGCGGCCGACCGAGCACACCGCCGAGTTCCACTCCGGCGAGCTCGGCGACGACGCCCTCTTCCTGTCGCACTACGACCCGCGCTTTTGCAACGGCACGCGCGAGGGCGACGCGGGCTGCTCGCTCCACCTCGGCGTGGGCGGGTACATGGTCAACGCGTCGTACTCGCTCGCGGTCTCGTTCGGCGAGGAGAGCAAGCTGAGCCTCATCTCGGGCCAGCCGCAGGAGGGCAGCCTCGAGGCGCACGCGTGGCAGTACTACACCATCGCTCTCGGCGGAGGGGACGTCGACCAGATCGTCGTCTCGCTCGAGGCGAGCTACGGCGACCCCGACGTGTACATCAAGGCGTGCCCGCCGGCGCCGCCGCCGCCGCCGGGCGGGCACGCCGGCGACGACGCGTGCCCGCTGCCTTCCCTGGAGGACAGCGGCTGGTCGGGCACCGCCTCCGGGGGCGACATGGTCCGCGTCGCGGACTCGACCGGCGACGGCTGGTGCCTGCAGTGCACGTACACCATCGGCGTCGTCGCCTTCACGCGGTCGGCCTTCACGATCACAGCCACCAGCGGCGGGCCTGCGGACCACCCGACCCGCCTGCTTCAGCAGGGCGTGCCCGCGCACGGCCAGGTCGGCGTCGGCGACTACGTCTACTACTCGGTCCAGCTGGAGCCGGCGCAGGACGTCTGGGTGACGCTCACCGCGACCAGCGGCGACCCGGACATGTACTCCTCCTTCGTCTCGACGGCGCCGTCGCAGGAGGACTACCAGTTCGCCGCGCGCGACCCGGCGGCGACGGACGAGCTGCACATCTCCCACTCGGAGGAGACGTACTGCAAGAAGGACGGCCGCGAGCGGACGCCGTGCGTGCTGGTGGTTGCCGTGTACGGCTTCGAGCAGGCCGACTTCTCGATCGTCGCCGTGCAGACGCCCGAGGCGCCCGTTCAGCTGCAGGACGGGGCGCCGCAGCAGGTTGCGCAGCAGGGCATAGGCGAGTGGCGCTACTTTGAGTACACCGTGGGCGCCCTCCCGCCCGCCGAGGCGCTCCTCCTCAAGGCGGGCAAGAACTGCAAGTCGCACGACAAGTACCTCGGCCACTTCGACGATCTCGCCGCGTGCGCCTCCGCGTGCGAGTGGGAGGAGGACTGCGCCTTCTTCGAGTACGGCACCGGCGACAAGGTGGGCGAGTGCTACGCCGAGTGGACCGCGTCCGACTGCAAGGAGGGGTGGGAGGACGCGCCGTACAACTTTTACGCGCTCGCGCAGACAAAGGGCGCCTTCACCGTCTCCATCTCGCCCACGATGGGGGACCCCGACCTGTACATCTCCAAGGGGCGCACGCAGCCGACCGAGGAGGAGCACGGCTGGCGCGCCGTCTCGCCGGGCGCCGACGCCATCCGGGTCGACTCGGGCGACCCCGACTGGTGCGGCCTCTGCACGTACACGATCGGCGTGCTCACGCCGCAGACCGCCTCGGCCTACTCCGTCGTCGCCTCCACCGGCGCCAAGGGCACCGTGCTCGAGGACTCCAAGCCGATGCTGCGCGTGATCCCCGCCGGCGACGGCGAGAACTACCGCCTCTACGTTCCCGGGCAGGGGGAGCAGCGCGGCCTCGTCTCGATCACCGTCTCGGCCACCGCCATCTCCGGGGGCGTGCGGCTGTTTGCAAACACCACCGGCTGGCCCAACGCGACGCACCACCAGTGGGCGTCCGACCCGTCGCAGCCGGCGGAGGCGGGCGCCGGCGCACGGCTGCACCTCGACGACGACGCCCTCAGCGTGTGCGTCTCCAGCTCGCCCAACTGCGTCCTCTACTTGCGCGCCGAGGCGGTCGGCACAACCGACGCCTCGATCTCGATTGTCGCACAGATCGAGCGGCCCGACTCGGGCCTCTTGATCGACTTCGCGCAGTTCAAGCCCGGCGGCAAGCGCAAGCGCTGGTCCGACGCAGAGAGCTCGTGCAGCTCCTCCTTCACCACCCAGGGCGGACACCTCGCGCGGATCGCAAATGAAGACGAGCAGGCGCTCGTGCAGCGGCTCTGCACAAAGCAGGACTCGGGGGACCGCGGCTGCTGGATCGGCTTCACGGACGCGGCGAACGAGACGGTCTGGGAGTGGAGCGACGGCGATGATCCGCAGTGGCCGACCACCTACACGAACTGGGCGCCGGGCGAGCCCAACGGCGGCCTGACCGAGTCCACCGACGCGGCGAGCATGTACGCCGCAGGCCCCAACGTTGGCAAGTGGGACGACACGTGGGGCGAGGCGGACGAGCAGAAGCGGCACTACATCTGCCGCGTGGACGAGCGCACGCCGCACGTCTTTGGCTCGGCCGCCTTCGGGCCGCCGCTGCCGACGACGCCGCTCCTCACCGCCCTCGTCCTCGCGGATCCGCCCACTGCCTGCGAGCCGATCAAGCTGACGCGCGGACCGTCAGGGGAGCCCGTCAAGGCGCCGCTCAACAAGACTAAGATGGCGGTCCTCATCAAGCGCGGCGATTGCGACTTTGTGGTCAAGGCGCGCAACGCGCAGGCGGCTGGCGCGTCCGCCGCCCTCATCTACGACCGGGTGTCGGGCCCCATCCTGACGATGATTGCGGGCGACAACGACGCGAGCGACATCCACATTCCGTCCATCATCATCACCAAGGAGAAAGGCACCGCGCTCGCCACGAGGCTCAAGAGGGAGAACTCCAACAACTCGCGACTGTACGCCACGCTCCGGCTGCCGCTCGAGCGCGACGTGGCGCTCTCGGCCGGCATCCCGCTGCAGGGGCATCTCGAGGCGCAGGGCTACGCGCTGCACCGGCTGACCGTCTCGCACGCGTCACGCATCCTCATCTCGGTGTCGGCCAGCTCCGCCACCGGCGACATCGACCTCTACGTCTCGTCGGATGGCACGCCGCCCACCACGACCCACTACGGCTGGGCGGCGATGGCGCTCGGCGCCGACTTCCTCGAGCTGCGGCCCGACGAGGAGGGGTACGTCGGCGGCGATGCCACGCCGGGCACATACATCATCGGCGCCTACAACGCCGGCGGGGACGAGGCCACCTACACCATCGTCGCCACCGTGGGGGGCACTCCCATCCTCGCGCCGGCGGGCACGCCGCTCAACGGGCGCGCCGCGCTTGGCGAGCCGATGCTCTACCGCTACTTGCACGCGCCCGGCAAGAACGCGTCGGCGCTGCAGATGGCGGTCGCCGCCCTCTCGGGCAACCCCGACCTGTGCGTCTCGCGCAACGCGAGCGCGATGGAGAAGCTGCCGCTCCTCTCTGGCGCGACCGACGTGGCTGCGCGCGAGGCGGCCGAGAAGGAGACCGAGGCGTTCCGCGCCGCCATCGCGGAGCACTGCACCTGGCACCGCGAGCTCGACGGCTCCGACACGCTCACCGTGCGGCACGACGAGCCCGAGGGCGGGCCGGGCTGGTACTACGCCGCCGTCTTCACCGACGACGCCTCGGCCCAGTTCACCTTCACCGCGCGCGTGGTGGACGGCAAGGCGGTCCCGCTCGAGCCGAACCAGCCGGCCTCTGGCGGCGCGCCGACGGGCGGGTGGTCGTACTACGCGCTCAACTTGGGCGACGACTCGGACCACCCCGTCGAGGAGGTGAGCCTCGTCCTCACCGCCACGCTGGGCGAGCCGGACCTCTTCGTCTCGTTCGGCGAGAAGCTGCCCGGCCGAGCCGACGCGGAGCACGACGCGGCCAAAGTCGGCGGGCGAAGCGCGTACACCCTCACGCTGCCCGCCTCGGACCTCGGCACCGCGACGAGGCTGCTCATCGGCGTCCAGGCCGAGGGCACGCCGTGCGCGTTCTCGCTGACAGCGACGGTGACGCGAAGGGCGGCCAAGGGCGAGGGCTCCGGCGGCTCCGGCGGCTCTGGCGGCTTCCCGCCGGCCTCCCCGCCGCCTCCGTCGCTGGAGCCGGTTCTTCGTCTGCTGCCGGCGACGCCAATGGCAATGGACGTGAGCGACGCCGGCGTCAAGAACTTTGAGTACGTGGTGCCCTCGCCGTCCACGGACCTCGAGCTCGTCGTCACGCCGCTCGGGGGCGAGTGGGAGTCCGACCGGCCGCCGCAGAGCCTGCTCCCTCCCAAGCTGCTCGCCGTCACCGGCGGCCCGAACGAGGGGCGCGCGACGCCCGCCCACCACGACTTTCCTCCCCAGCGCACCCTCTTCGAGAGCAGCACCGTGCGCGACGCCGGCGAGCGCAACGTCGACGCCCGCGGCTCGTGGACGTACAAGCTGGTGCAGTCCAGCAAGCGGTGCCGGGCGGCCCACGCCGACCTCGGCACCGCAAGCTCGGCGCAGGACTGCGCCGCAAAGTGCCGCGCGTCTGCGGACGGCTGCGCGTACTTCACGTACGGGCGCCGCGGTGGGAAGTGCCACGCCGAGCGCACAACCTCCTCCGCCTGCCCCGAGGGGCTCGAGCGGGCGGACCTCGAGCTGTACGCTCTCTTCCCGCCGTGGGACGAGGCAACCTCGCTCCGGATCGCGGCGCAGGACGCGGCGCCCGCCTCGTGCGCCGCCGCCTCGGGGGGCGCGGGCTGCGTGCTGCACGCGGCGGTCATCTGCGACGCGCCGCCATGCCACTTCTCGGTCGTTGCCGCCCCGGCCGACCAGCCGATCAAGCTGGTCGGCCAGGCGCAGCGGCGCGTGCGGCCTGCAAACGAGTGGGCCTACTTCTCCGTGCGCGTGGCAAAAGACGCGACGGACGTGGTCCTGACGATGCGCGTGGAGAGCGGCTCGCCCTCGCTCTGCGTCGTCGAGACGGTCGACACGGCCGACGACAGCTCCCCCGACTTTGACTCGGACGACCGGGAGGACGGCGCCTGTCCGCAGGCCCACCCCGCGAGGGCGGCGGACCCAAAGCTCGTGCTCCAGCAGTCGGATGTGGCGGCGGACGCGTGGCTCAAGCGCAGCGATGGCGACGGCTCCTTCTTCACGCTCGAGCTCCTCCCGTCGGACAAGCGCTGGTGCACCAGTTGCTCCATCCTCCTCGCCGCCGCCTCGCCCGAGGCCGCGAGCACCTTCACCCTCACCGCCGTCGTGGGTGGCGTCAGCCCGGCGGGCGGAGGGGGGCATGGCGGCGGCGGCGGCGGCGGCGGGGTGGGGGGCGGCGGCAGCGCCGTTGGGGCCGTCTTCACCTGGTTGTTGGTGATCGGCGTCATCGCCGGCGGCGGCTACGTCGGCCGCAAGCGGTACGTGCGCGGCCAGCCGCTCGTGCCCGGTTTTGTGAAGAACTTCCAGGCCCCGTCGATGGACTCGCTGCGTGGGATGCTGCCCGCGTCGCTGCCCTCTCTGCGCTCGTCCAGAAGCCGCGCGCAGGTCAGCGTCGGCGCCGGCGCCGGCGCCGGCGGCCCCGGCGCCATCGACCGGGCGCGCTCGGCGCTCAACCGGCGCACGCGCGGCACGCGGCTCGCCGACCAGGAGCTGCGCTCCTACGACGCGCCGCTCGCGCCCGGGGACGGCTTCAACCCCGTGCCTTCGCCGCTGCACGGCGGCGCCCCGCCGGCCGGCGGCAGTTACGTAGCGCCCGTGTTGGCGCCCGCCGGCGGCATCGCTCCCGCTGACGAGGAGCCGACCGTGACACCTCTCACGAGCGTCGCGGCAGCGCAGGCAGCTGCCGCGGCGAGGGTGTGAAGCCCCATACCGCCCGTCCTTACTACGGGACGTGCTGGCTGCGATCTCTGCTCTCTGGTGCTCTCTCGCATCGCTTTCGAACTGCGGCTTGTTCCCTCGCCGCACACACTAGTGTCCGGCCCAGCCGAGAAATGTACCTGCGAGAGGTCGTGTGTGTCTGTGTTTTGCCATGTGACTGAGGAGGGAAATTAAGATTCGCTTCCACACACGCTCGTAGTCACTGACGCATGTCGGGGAGGACCCGCGTCGCGCCAGGCCGCAGGCGACGCGCAGCTGCAGCTGCAGCGGCCGCTGCGAGGCTGGCGGTTGGACACCCCCCGGGCCCGCCGCGCCACGCCGCCACGCGATCGTGGATCGTGCAGCCGGTGCGCGATCGGGCAACTGGCGCGCGCAGTATGCCAGACACTAATATGGCAAAATTCTCATTCGTTGGTTGCATACCATGCGGCCCCCCGTCCCACACACGGGAGCCAACACAAGAAAGGCGCTTGTGTGCGGAGACGAGACACGCGGGCCCCGGGGTCGCACAAGTTCGTTCGCAACGATCCAACGAACCATCGCGCACACCAACCAAGCCCGCGCGCGAGAGACAGAGTCAGAGAGCCGGAGTCGATTTTGTACTGTGACTGCGGGGCCCAAGCCGATCGTCAGTCCGTAGGCAGGCGGATGGCGGACGAAGGGCCGTCGGAGAGATCAGCCGCGTCTGATCGCCACATGACCCCTCACGCGCGCTTGCCCTGCTGCCACTCGCTGATCTGGCTGCGCAGGTTGTAGTTGGGGATGAGGCCGAAGGACTCGAGGTCCGCGTTGGTCGTGGGGCTCGTCTTCTTGCGCTTCTTGTGCACCCAGTGCACGATCGCGTGGCGCTCGTAGGTGTACCCGTCCGAAGCGATGACCGGGTCGATCATCACTTCGAAGGTGATCGGGCAGACAAAGGCGTCGGGCGGCTCGTCGCGCCGAGCGGCGGATATCGACAGCTTCTTCTCGAGCTCGACAAGTGCCTGCCGCGCCGCCGCCTGCTCCGCCAGCGTCTTGCCCGCCGCCTTGCCCGCGGCGCTGACGGAACCCTCGGGCGCGACGATGACGGTAGAGAGGAAGACGGCGTGTCCAGACCCGTCCGCCAGCGGCATCGTCGAGTAGTGGACCTTGCGACGCGTCGCCATCGCAAGCTGGTTCAGCTCGCTCTTGTAGTCGGGTTTCGAGCCGACCGCCGCCATGAGCGACTCCACCGCGTCGCCAGCGATGCGCTCCACTTCGACCAATGCCGCTTCAACGTTCGACTTGTCGGAGAGGGACGCGACGGCGCGCAACACGCGCCCCGCGTCGTACCCCATTGTGACGAGCGCGCGGACCGTCGCATTCTCGGCGGGGGAAGGAGCGGGCGCCACCGGCGCCGCCTGGCCGAGAGCAACAAGCGGCGCAGTGCGCCGCCGCATGGTGGACTCCGCGACCTCGGTGATCCAGGTGAGCATCTTGTCTCGCTGAACTTTGCGCGCAGAGAGGATGGTGATCTCTCGCTCCTTGTCGAGCCGAGTCAGATCGATGAGGCAGCCAAACTCGCTGCACCGGTCAAAGATCTGTAGAGTGCGGGAGAGTGTATGAAAAAGACGGGAGGAAGGGAAGGGGGGGGGGGGGGGGGCTTCAAAAAGTCACCGCGATGCGTCCGTTGTTGCGCGCGTGCAGCGACTCCTTGACGACCGCGTGGTTGTACTGGTCAGGGACCCGAATCACGTGGGCAATCGGGGGCGAGTTGTCGCGGAGCAAACTCGCGTCAAAGCCGACGAAGGAGCGGCGTGGCTTGTCGTAACAGAGGCGAAAGAATAGGTAGACGGCCGCGATGCGTCGCTCCCGGTGGCTGCGAGGGTAAGATGGGGAGGGGACGATCTTGGAACTAAGGTTGCCTAATACTAGATGGGAAGGGGTGGGAAGGGCGGGAAGGGCGGCGGCGCGGCGAGGGCGGGTGGGGGCGGCGAGGGCGGCGGCGGTGAGAAGCGGGGGCGGGTGGGGGGGGGACCTGCCCACAAGCTTGAGCTTGAGATCGCCACCTTTGTCTACGTAGGATATCTTGCAGCCCGACGCGGCCACCACCACCTTGTACGTGGCGAAAAAGCTTTCGCGCTGATCGTGCGGCACGTGAAACGTGGCAAAATGTGCCGCCTCGGACTCAGCGTACGAAGACTTGGCGCTCCACATGGAGCGATCGCCTAATAGTCCGCATGATGTAAGGGCGCCGCCAGCAAACGAGGGAAGAGGTTCTACAAGATGGCGTCGCCGCGCTTGGCCGGCGCCGCAGAGGGTGGCGGCGCGAGCGGGCGCTCGGCGCGCGTTAGAGCTGAGGGTGTGCAGCGAGTAGCATGCGGAGCGGCGTCCGCGATTGACGGCAGTGTTTTTGTGTGGCGAGGGACAGAGGAGCTTATACGAGCTTACTGTACGAGCTTACCAAACGCCGCAGCCGTGATCGAGAAAAAGAAATTTTGCCGCGGGGTGGCGTCAGAGGGGGGCATGGCGGCGGCGGCGGCGGCGGCGGGGTGGGGGGCGGCGGCAGCGCCGTTGGGGCCGTCTTCACCTGGTTGTTGGTGATCGGCGTCATCGCCGGCGGCGGCTACGTCGGCCGCAAGCGGTACGTGCGCGCGGGACGGTCGAAGGCCTCCACATCCGACTTTGCAGGGCATATCCTAAGCACGAGCCCACCCACCCTGCCTGCACAGCCTACACGCGCGCGCCGCGCGACCCGCGTCGCTCCTCCGCGAGGGCATGAGCCTTCCGCGATTCGAACCCACAGCCAAAAGCTGCTCGCTCGAACCGCGGCCGACTCTACCATCGCGGCCGCAGCTGCTGAGCTCTCCAGAAGACTGGTGCCTCATATGCTGCCTCCCTGCGGATGCTGCCGGCGAGCCTGGCGGTCCGCTGTACTACAAGGAAGTGCTAACTCGACTTCTTCCCGAATTCTTCTACCCCCACGACTCGGAACGCGAATGTGACAGGACCATCGGGTCCTTCAGCCACCAAAGTGAGATCACCCGAGAGCAGCTGAGCCTGCCTCTGGCCTCGCCTCCCTCTCCTTCAGGCATTCGTGGCATCCTATGGGTCGTCCAGAGTATCGACCTCTGGCGAGTCAGCCAGCCCCGCTTTGAGGGCGCCATGAAGTACAGCGATCGCCACCTCGCTGGCCTCTCCGCAGGCCCCCCCGACCGCGTCGAACTCATCGGCGCGGGCTCTCTCGGCTACGGGACCGGCCCCAGCTTCGGCTGAGGGCTGACAAGCTGCCGAGCCCAAATCACTGTGAGAGTCGTGATTTATTGTTGGTTTTCTAAAATCTTTGTTGTAAAATTCTAAAATCTCTGCTGTACCAAGAAGATTAAATTCTTTTTTGCTTGAACTTTGTAAGGTGCCTATATGGGCTTCCAGTATCGGACCTTCAAGACATGCGCTTTTGGCCGGTGGCCTCCTCGGACATGGTACCTCCGGTGAGATGAGTGGCTGCCAGTTCGAGACTGGGGCCGATCGAACTTGAGTTGTTCGGAGGAGGAATCCGGCCAGCACGGGTACAAAGAGGGGTACCTGGAGAATCCCCAGCTGCGGAAACGTAGTGTCGCTCAAGATGTGCGATACTGCGGGGGAGTGTAAGGTGCCTATATGGGCTTCCAGTATCGGACCTTGAGGCCATGCGCTTTTGGCCGGTGGCCTCCTCGGACAAACTTGTTCTTCGACAGGGACGCGCGCTCGGACGGCAAGTTCAGCGCGCCTCTTCAATTGCTCTCTCTCTCTCTTCTAGAGTGCAGCCACAGCAGTGCTTTGCAACCGCTAGCCAAGGCATGGACAGCTGGTTGGCACTTTCAGTCAGCTGCGTGGTCGTCACTGCGGTTGGATCCTTTGCAAGCTCCCTCGGCGGCGAGCTGCTGTTCGACGACCTCAAGGCCATCAATGAAAACAACGATGTTGTCCATCACGCGCCCTTTGTCGAGATTCTACGCCACGACTACTGGGGTACTTCCATCCGCAGCTCGGGCTCCCATGGCTCATGGCGACCGCTGACAACGCTCACCTTTCGCTTCAATCACGAGCTGCATGAGCTCGAGCCTTTCGGCTACCACGCGGTGAATGTAGCCCTTCACGGCCTAGTGAGTGTGCTCTTCCTGCTGCTGCTGCGACGGATCCTGCTCCCCACGGATCTTGCCGCGGCCACCTTTGGCGCTTCGCTGTTTGCGGCGATTCCTGTGCATTGCGATGCGGTGGCAAGCACTGTCGGCCGAGCCGAAGTGCTCTCGGGGCTCTTCGTCTTCGCCGGGGTGCTCGTGCACTCGCTCGGAGAGGACTACACTTCACCGACTGCACAGCTGCTCCTTCTCTTCTCAACCGCCGCCGCCGGGGCCACTGCCACGATGTGCAAGGAGCAAGGCGCGATGATGTTTGTGCTCTGCCTCGCTCTCGAGATCCTGGTCGCCTCGCGTGCTCCAGTGACGACGGCACCTGGGCCGCGGCGTGCAGCGCGCCTCGGATCAATGGCGGGTGCCGCCTTTGCGGTGCTGTACATGCGCCTCAAGGTGGCGGGCGGCGTGACGCCCGAGTTTGGCGTCGAGCAGAACCCGACGGCGCACCATCCCGAGTTTGCCGTGCGCGCGAGGCGCCTTCCCGCGCCCCTTCCTATCCAGCCCTGCCTGCGAACGTGTGCCCACGCCGCACCGCACCGATGCTTGCGCCCTGGCCCGCAGGACCTTTGCGTACCTCGCCGCGAGGCACACGCTGCTGCAAGTCCAGACCAGCGGCTTCTCGTGCGACACGACTGGCTCGTCCATCCCGCTGTTGGTCTCATCGACGGACCCACGGCAACTGCTCACCGCCGCCATCGCACTGCCGATCGGAGCGCTGGCTGCAGCGTCGACCATTGGGGTGCTGCGGCGCTGGCTTCGTCCGCCCGCAAAGGCCAGTGACCCCCGCGAGGACGGGCTCGGCGGAGTGTGGTTCGCGCTGGTGCTGCTCATCGCGCCCTTTCTGCCTGCGAGCAACTTACCCTTCCATGTGGGCTTTGTGCTCGCAGAGCGCGTGCTCTATACTCCCTCCGCCGGGGTGTGTGCGCTCGCCGCCCTCGGCCTCCACGCGGCGACTAGCTCCGTCGCTGCCGTCAAGAGCAAGAGTGGAGCGAGCGGCGGCGGCGGCGGCTTGGGCTTGGCGGGGATGAGCACTCCCACTCTGAGGGCGATGAGCGTGGGTGTAGTGGCGGTGTACGCCTCAGCGGCGGTGCGGCGCAACGGCGCGTGGGCGACGCACAAGACGCTCTTCCGCTCTGCGGTGGCCGCCTACCCCGAGAATGTGGAGATGCACCGCGCGCTTGCGGCGACGCTCACCAACTTCGCCGACAGCGACGCGGAGCGCGAGGAGGCGGTCGAGCTGTACGCGACGGCGATGCGCATTGACCGGCGCGACGGGCGCCCGACGCCGCCCCGCGTGATTTTTAATCTGGGCGTCGCTCAGATGGGGCTTGGCCGGCTCGACGAGGCGGAGTCCTCCTACCGGCAGGCGGTGCGCTCCTCGCCCACGTCCAACCGGGCGTCGCGCGCCTCGGGCGAGGTGTCGACGGACGCCTTTGCGCGGTACAACCTGGGGCTCATCCTGATGCAGCGGGCCGAGGGGGCGTCAGCCGAGCCCGACCGAGCCGCGCCGCTCAACGAGGCCTTGGACCTCTTCGGGCAGGCCTATCACATCATCGGCGGCAGAGCCGCCGCAGACCAGCACGCCGCCCTGCTGGGCCACGGGTGCGGCGAGCTCGCGCGCCTGCTGGGGCAGGCCGAAACTCGGGGCGATGGCATGTTCCTCAAGGCGTTGATCATCGCGCTGATGGAGAAGCGGCGGTGTGAGGACTAGGTCCTAGAGGAAATTCCACACAGAGACAAAGAGAGAGTGACTGCCCCTGAACACTACGGCTCAAAAGTGTCTTTTTCACCCTCACCGCGCATGGAGGGTTGGGGTGGTGGCCAGATTGGGGCGCTCGCGAGCGAACTGAGATCCGAGGTGTGAGAAGCGCTCTATGGATCGTCGAGCAGGATTGCGCCCCGTGCCGCACACCGTGCGCACGCACACAACTCACCGCACGGCGCGGCTCTCCGTCTCGCGCCACAGGCCACGCAGCGCCGCGCGACTGCGGACTGGCTAGATCTGGGGGTGTGGGGCGCGGGGCCGGGTGTCACAGAGTTTCGCGAGGCGACCGAGCGAAAAAAGTATCACATTACACATACACGGAGACCTGGGGACACCTTCGCTGCTAACACACGTACACGTACGAGCGAGTAGAGTCACTCGAATCGCGAAAACTGGGCGGACTTCACTTGTGTGTCGCCGTACAGGGAGCGGGTGGCGAAGAGGCCGCCGGCGCCGAGAATCCCGAGCACCAGCTTCACGAGCAAGCAGCCGAGCGACGGCAGACGGTCGTCGTGGCAGGCATCAAAGAGGGCGGGGATGATGTCGTAGTCGATGAGGTCCCACAGGCCCACCCACACCGCCAGGCCGCATAAGATGGCGCCCAGGCTGCGGCAAAACTTGGACAGCTCGAATCTTGGCGCGCGGAAGTACTGGCGGGCGGAGGGCGGTACTCCCGCCGGCGGCGCGTGTGCCTTTGGCTGCGCGGCGGTCCGGAGCTGCGGCACCGAGTGGGCCGGCCGATCCGCTTGCGGGCCTGCGCGTGCGGTCACGACAGCCGGCGGCGGCGAGGGCGGCGGCGAGGCGGCGGGCGAGGCGGGCGGAGAGGCATCGCTCGAAGCGGGGCGCGCACCGCCAGCACCGGAGCCGGCGGCCCCCTCGGGAATGATGTGGGGAGGGGCAGCAGCAGCGTAAACGGGAGCGGCCGCCTTTGCTGCTCCTCTCAGCGGCAGTGGCTGCCCGCTCAACGGCTGCCCCGCCTCGCTCTGAGGACTGTCACTCGGCGAGACGAAGACGATGCGTCCGATCTCACCCTCGCTCCCGGTGGAGCTCGGTCCGGGCTGCCCGGACCCCTCCACCGGTATCCCAAACCCCTCCGCCGGCGTCTCCAGCCGCGCGACCAGCTCTGCAGCCGGCCGGACCCTCTCCATGGCCAGGCCGGCGCCGAGCATCGGCTGGCCGCTTGCGCGAGAGGGGAAGGACTGGAGGGCGGCGGAGTCGGGCCGCGCGGCGCGGATCGCCTGCAGCATCTGCTTGTCATACAGCGTGCGAGAGAGGAAGAGGCCAACCACGCCGCCCAGGATGAGCAGCACCCGCGCCGCCCAGTGGTCGGCGTGCATGAAGGCGATGATGTACCTGGAGTCCGCACGAGACGATCAGCAAGCGCCGCGCGCGGCAGCAGCCGAGGGCCACGGGGCGGCAGCGCACGATGTGGCGTCCCAGAAGCCGATCCACAGCAGCACGCCCGACAAAATGGAGACAGACGCCTCGAGGATGGCCATCGGCTCAAAGTACGCTCGTTGGCGCCGCATGAACATCCAGAAGCGCCACGACCAGTAGGATCGACCCGCCATTTTAGCGGCGTAAACCCGTGGGGAGAGCGGCAGCAGATGGAGAAGCGGCGGCGCGCCTAGGCGCCGTGTCCTTGGATTTCTTTTTCTAGGAAAATTCTTTTTCTAGGCTTTTGTGAAGGTGAAAGCGAAGGAGTTTGTTGTGAAATTCCTTTCTAAAATTATGATTACTGTTCTTCACCTTCCTAACCTAACCTAGCCTAGGAAGACGCGGCGCAGGCTGCACTCGGGGCTCGAGGAGCACCACTGCGAGTGCGCGACGTGGCGCGGCGAGCACTCGGCGCGCTTGTCCGACGAGACGTTCGTCCGCTCGAAGAGCCAGCGCAGCTTGCGGAGGGAGGCGGCGTGCCTAGCTCTCTCTAGCTCAACACTGACTGGGCACGGGACTGGCTGGCGGCACTGGCACTAGCAGAGGGAAAGAGGAAAAGAACTTCTGTATCATCTGCACTCCAAGTGCTCGAAGTGTGTGTGAGAGATGCCTTTCGTTCGGGGCCCAGAGCTAGGCCCAGAGATAAATAAAACTTCTGATCTTAGCGTCTGATGGTTCGTGTATCGTGATCTGATGGTGATGCCATGCGTGACAACCTAGTACGCTGTAGTGTCCCCAAGCTATGCCTATCTGTATTATGGGCGTGTCCACGTTGGAGCCAGGTCGCAGGTGAGAGAGAGAGAGAGATTTTCAGTGTATGTAGCTCTTACGAACATACCCGTAGGTGAACTGCTGACAGGGTTTGCGATGAACCCGAACGTGGTATTCGGGATTTTTAGCGCAGGTGTGGTGTGGACGATGCGAATCGTGGTTTCGTATCAACAAATACTCACGATCACAACAAGGGTGTGTTCAACAAGGAATTCTCAATGCCGTTCAACATTCTTTTGCGACACACAACGCACAACACACACACACACCGCACACCGCACACCACCACAACACACAACACACAACAAGTGCTCGTCTTTTCTCCTGTCATATAAAGAACATACATTCTTTTTCTCGGTGTACCTGTGTTAGTGCCAGTGCGAGCCAGTCCCGTGCCCAGTCCTGTGCCCAGTGTCGTGCGAGGGAGTTTTGTTGTAAAATTCTTTTTCTCACGTGCTCCACCCAGTGCGGCACACTGCACTCCATGACAGCCAACCCGCCGACGAACCTGCCTTCTCACCTTAAGCGCGTGGTGATCGACAACGGCGGCCACACCTGCAAGGTGGGCTTTGCCGGCCAGTCGGATCCGGAGCGGTGTCTGCTCAACGGCGTCGTCAAGACAAAGGGGCCAACGGGCAAGGTGTACGTGGGCGACCAGTACGAGGCATGCCCTGACTACTCGTCGCTGCAGTACCGGCTCTCGCTCGAGCGCGGGTGCCTCGTCAACTGGGACACGCAGGCCGAGGTATGGTCTCGCGCGCTCGGCGCTGACGTGCGTGGCTCGCCCTCCTGTCGGCCACTCGTTGCCGGATCGCCTCACTCGCCGCCCGCTTGCGTCAGGTGCTCGCCGTCAACCCGGCCGACTGCTCGCTGCTGCTGAGCGAGATCCCAATGTGCCCGACCTCCATACAGGCGAGCCAGAGAGTGGCTGCCGCGTCGCCCGCTCTCCGCTCGTACACATCTCACCTCGCCGCCATCGTCCTGCGCCGCCGCCTTGCAGGACACGCTCGACGAGATGGTGTTTGAGCACTTTGGCTTCCACTCCTACTGCACCCGCCCTGCGCCTGCCCTCGCCGCCCTCTCGATCGCCGCCCAGCAAGCGAAGCAGCAGGCAGCCAGACGCCACACGAGAGACACTTCCGAGACACGTCACCACGGCCCTCCTCTGCCAGCCATGCCCGCCCCTGCCAGCAGGCGCCGGAAGCGAGCGCGGCACCGCCAATGCCAGCCTCGCTCGTCGTCGACGCGGGCTTCTCCGCGACGCATGTCGTCCCGATCTTCGGCTCCGCCGCCCTCAACTACGGCATCAAGCGGCTCGGGCTCGGAGGCAAGCTGCTCACCAACCACCTCAAGCAAGTCATCTCGTACCGCGCGTACAACGTGCCGAAGTCCACCGCCCCAGTCGGGCCGGGCCTTCGCACCCCACCCTCACGCGTCCCGGACCGCCGCGCGCGCCTCTCCCCGTGGCGCAGGTGATGGAGGAGACGCACCTCATCAACGACGTCAAGGCGACCCCCGCCCCCAGCCCCGCTTCCGCCCCCCCACCGCCCCACGCCCCGGCCCCGCTTCCGCCCCCACCGCCCCCCGCCCAGCTGCGCGCAGCCCCACCCCGCAGCAGCCCTCCCCGCAGCAGCCCTCCCCGCAGCAGCCCTCCCCGAGGCGGCCCTCCAGCGCGCCCCTCCCGCGCCGCAGGAGCGGCTCTGCTACGTCTCGCTCGACTTCGACGCCGACCTCGCCCTCACGCGCTTCCGCGGCAAGAAGAACACCATCCGGCGCGAGTTTGTCATGCCCGACTATGTCAACTCGATGCGGGGCACACCCAAGACCCAGACCCCGCCGGACACGTCCGCGACTCGCCCACGACAAGAGCAAGCTAACCTCCGATAGGCACCATCCGAGACCCGAACGCGCCGGCAGAGCCGGCGGCGGCGCCGGCGGCAGCGGGCGGCGGCGCGCGGGAGGAGGGGGCGCCTCCGCCTCAGAAGAAGGGGCGGGTGCCCGCGGACCGCGCAGAGGAGCAGGCGCTCTCGCTCTCCAACGAGCGGATCACGGTGCCCGAGCTGCTCTTCCACCCGTCCGACATCGGGCTCGAGCAGGCGGGGCTGCCCGAGTGCATCGTGCAGGCGGCCGAGGCGTGCCCTCCGGACATGAGGGAGGCGCTCTACGCAAACATCCTCGTCACGGGCGGGAGCAGCCGCTTCCCGAACTTTGAGGAGAGGCTGCAGCGCGAGCTGCGCGCCCTCGTGCCGAGCGACCTGCCCATCGGCTTCACCGCCGCCTCAGACCCGACGCTCGCCGCGTGGCGGGGAGGCTCCATCTTTGCGGCGGCGGCCGAGTACGACTCTGCGGTGGTGACCAAGGAGCAGTACCGCGAGGAGGGGCACGCGCTCTGCCGACGGAGATTCGCCGGCGCGTAGCATAGCAGGCACGCCGCAGCGCCGACACACGTCGATACATGCGCCACTGCCCCCCACTTTCTTGGTACGGTAAGCTGTGCGCGGGCGGCGGGCCGCCCTGCACCCCGGCGCAGACCAAAACCCTCAGGCGAGGGTGTGCCACTGCCAGAGCGCTCCTGCGCTCGCATCGCGTGCATGTGGCATGTAGTAAGGTATGAGTCATCACTAATGTGTTGCGTTTTGGCTCATTTAGCAAACACGTGTCAACACATCGCATACAACAAGTGGTCACATCAAAAAAGAGAAAAGGGGGGGGAGTCGTGACTCGTGTGCGGCGCCGGCGGGCCGGGGCCCGGGGGACGCACGAGGCACACAAGTCACAACGCCAGAACACTTACTCCGGTCTCGCCGCCCCCGGCCCCCCCGCGCGCGAGATGCGCGCGCGCGCGCGCGCGCGAGGGCGGCTGGTTCCATTCAGGACGCGCAGAACTCGTCTCTCTACACATCGAAGCTGCGCCCCCTCTTCACCCGCGGTGGCGCGGTTGCCGACTGCTTCGCCTCCTCGAGGCCGGCACTGCGACCTCTTTTGACCCGCGGCGGCGCAGCCTCTGCCGACTTTGCCTCCTCGGAGGAGCTTCGGCGCTTCGCCGGCAAGGCGTCCTCGAGGAAGCGCCACACGACACCACGCTCCTTGCGCCCCACGCGAGATGGCGCCGCTGCGAAGTCGCGGGTCTGGTAGCGCCCGCTCTCATCCCAGAGGGCCCGGAAGGACCCGTCGACGAAGACGGCGACGACGTGAGCGAGGCGCCACACCGACCCCTCCTCCGCCTTCTTCGCGTGCGAGGCCTCGCAGTGCACCTCGAGCCTGGCCCCAGGCACCACGCCGCCCTGGGCGTGCAGGTTCCACTGCGCCTCGGCGAAGCGGAGCGAGAGCTGTGCGAGCGTGCTGCTCGCGAGCACGCGCCTCCGCCACGCCTGAGTGAGCTCGCGATGCCACGCGTCGCTCCACTCCACGTCCGCCGCCCCTCCATCACTGGCGCTACTGACTGGCGTCTGCACCGCGTCGTACATCCGCAGCAGCAGCGCCCGCAACTGCGCCACATCGACAGCCGTCTCAACCTCGAGCAGCCAGGATCGCCGCTCCTCGGCCCAGCTCGCAGCGTTGGAGGCGGTAGGGGCTCTCAATGGACCGCTTCGGGCCTCGCCAGCGCCACTACTGCCGCTGAGAAGAGTCGCCTCCACCGCAAGCAGCCGCCGCCGCATGGCGCGGAGGCTCGCCTCAGCTGCCTCCTCGATGGCCTCGGCCACCCCCTCCTCGTCCACCTCCTCCTCGTCGCCATCGTCAAAGCGCAAGCGCCACCTCGCAGGCTTACCGTCGCCGCGGGCGGGCCGCCAAGCGGACACGACGGCGTTGAAGGTTTCGCCCTTGACGATCCTCCGCACCCGTAGCCCAACCCAGTCGTGGGACGCATCCCACGAGTCCGTGCGACCGAGCTTCGCCTGGCCGCCTCCAGCCGTTGGCCCGCCGCTGCCATCGTCGTCCGCGTCTTCGGGCAGCGTCACCTCGGCTAGCCGCCGCCGCAGCTTCGCTTCACCCGGCAGGTCGCGCGCCTCCAGCGCGAGCTTGAGCAACGAGAGAGAAGCAAGCTGCCCCCAGCCACCGCCCTGGTGCTCGACCGCCAAGAGCGGCCCCAAGGGTTGGCCGCCTTGGTGGTCGTCTACAGGCGGCAACGGCCCGGGGAGCAGCCAGTAGACGGAGCCCTCGGCGTCGCGTCCCAGAGGCGTCAGGCGAGTCATATCGGCCCACTCTGCCCGCTGTACGGCCACCCTGTCAGCTTCGGCCTGCGCCGCAGCCTCAACCTTGGATGAGATCCGTCGGCCTCGCCTGCTTGCCCCCTCATCGCTTCCGCTCGCCGCCGTCGCCCCCCCTGCCTGCAGCGTCCTCACCTCCTCCTTCGCAAGCCGGATGGCGTCGCGAGCCGCATCCCTCACGGCCCTCGCCGCATCCATCGCCTCTTTGAGCTCTACCATGCTCTCGTGCTGCACTGCCGCGGCGGCCCAGTATGCGCGCTCGGTGTGGGTGAAATCCTCCTCAGCCGCGCAGAGCTCACCCCCGAGATCGGCTGCGCGCTGGCGCGCAGCAGCCAACGCCACCTTAGAGGCACGCTGCTGCTCCCGCTGTAGCTCCCGCACGGCCTTGGCCTCCCCGCGCCGCGCCTGTTGCAGCGACTCCCACGCCTCTGCAATCTCGGATCCCAGCACCTCGAGCGCCCGCTCGCAGAGGTTCCCGAGTGCCTGGCACTTGAGCGTGGCGTCGATAGACGAGTACTCTTCCACGCGCAGCCGGCGGCCGAGCTCAAGCAGCGACGGGTCGAGCCAATCCTTGTCGTGCACGGCCGACCCCTTGGACTCCTCCTTGAGCTTCCACTGAGCAATCACGAGCCGCAACACCTCGGGCCAGCCAACCCGGTCTGCGTCGAGGTAGGCAGCCAGGTCGCGGGCGAGCCACGCATGGACGCCTGTGCTGGGCCGGGGTACCCGGTGCACCTCCGTCGACTCGCCGTCCGAGTCGTCGTCGATGAGCGCCGTCTTATCCTCCCGCTCGAGAAAGAGGCGCAGCAGGTGGATGTGCAGCTCACCGACGAGGCCACTCTCGCCGCCCGAGCAGAGCCCGTCCTGAAGCTGCTCGAGGGTCGGCGTGACCAGGGCCCTGTCAGGCTGCAGCCGACGGCAAAAGCAACGCGCAAACTGCCACGTCACGAGCAGTGCTGTGGTCGCCTCGGCATCCAGCACTGAAGCGAGGGGCAACGTGTCCGGCAGCGAAGGCAAGCCACAGCTGCTCTGGCTTCCTGCCGGCGACGCACGCCCGTGCTGGTAGGACGCGCTGGACTCGTCGTCTGAGGCAGAGTTGCGTGCCGCGCCCGCCTCGCGTCTCGCCTTCTCAAATGGCAGACCCCCCCAATCGTCATCGCTGCTAAGGTCGTCTTCCCGCCCGCTTGAGGCGGCCCTCAGGGCGCCAGGCGCAGGGCCTGGCCGAGCTTGCGTCCCTGAGCGGCGACCAGTCTTCATTGCCGGCGGCATGTTTTCAATGCCGTCGCCGACAGTGGCCATCAATTTTGCCGAGATGCGTGGGGGGGGCGGGGGGGCGCAGACGACGCAAGCTCGCGCGGACGATGCAAGCTCGCGCGGACGATGCGCAGAGAGTTTCTGGTCAGCGCAGACGCAAGCAGGCGCGGACGATGCGTAGGGGGAAGCGCGAGGCTCCCGCGCGGACGTACCGGGATCGCCGGCGAATATCGAAATCGGGTTTTTCTCTCTCTAGTGTACGTACTTTTAGCGACTGGGAGAGAAGGGGAGACGGAGGCGCGCTCTCTAGGCCCTCTCTCTCCCTAGTGTATGTGGCTCTTACGTACTCCCGATTTTTTGTGCCAACATGCAAAGACAGAACCGGACAAGATCACGCACAAGTCGAGAGTTAATTAACAACCTCGAAACACCTCTCCGACGCGCTCGAGCTATGTACCTCTGTCGCACGAAACCCGGTGGTGAAACTGCTCTCCCGGCGTCGCACACTAGCCGTCGTGCGACTCGCCCGTGGGAGCATTTTTCTGCGATTCAATGTCGGGCAGCGAGGCTCCAGCCTTCAGCGATGACTCGTACGACTGCAGCAACACCCCCGCGGGCGAGCGGGCGAGCGGGCCCAAGCATTCTTCTCCTCCACGCTCCGCGTGCGCCGACAACCGGACGCGCAGCGAGAAGCGGACAGTGTTTGTCGCAAATCTGCTTCTCAACCTGTGCGGGGTCGTTCTCTGGGCTGGCATGCTGACAATCAACGCATTGTGCGCCGCTGTTCGAGCTTGCCGCGCCCCCGCCCACTTCTTTCTTACTCATAAGTGCGAGCGTGTCCTCCTGTGCCAGGTACGATGGCATCATCAGCACAACGGGCTGGGAGTTGAGTCAGGTGTCGCTCCTCTTCACCCTGCAGGTCTTTACCTGCTTCCTATGCTGCCCGTTGTGGGGGGTCGCTGCCTGCTACGTTTCGATTCGCAGGCTGCTCGCCGGCGCTCTCTTTGCCGGCGCGGCTCTCAACCTCCTAACTGGCCTCGTCTATCTGACGGACTCGTACGGCTGCTTCGCCGCACTGCAGATCCTCAAGGGCATCTGTCTCTCTCCTTGCCAATGCCTGAACCGCGCGCTCATCCCAAAGTACTACCGCCTCGCCGAGCGCGGCAAGTACTACGGCTTCCTTGAGGTTTCAGCCGGGATCGGCGGGCTGGCAGGCGTCATCTTTGGCGCCTCCTCGTACATTGGCGGTGCCGAGGGATGGTACGGGTGCGACACGGGCACGTCGAGCGACGAGAACGCCACCTTGTGCCCCGGGCTGGATGGGCACAACGTCACTTCCGTAGACGTTGCAGACGATGGCAGGTGCGACGGCGCACTGCCAAAGTGGTCTGTCCCCTTCTTCGTCCTCGGCGCCTTCATGGTCCCATGTGCCGTGCTCGTGCTCTACTTCGTGGTGGACCCCACGAAAGACGAGAAGCTACGCACGAGGCTCGGCCAGGAGAGGCTGAAGGCGATCTTCCCCGGTCTCCGTGATGAGGACACGCGGTTGAGCTTTGGCCTCGTCCGCTCCATGTTTGGGGTAAAGACGTGGATCTTCATCGTGCTCCAGGGCGTGACGGGCGCCTTCCCGTGGCCCGCGATGAGCCTGCTACTCTACTGGTTCCAGCTCCTCGACATCAACCCCTTCCTTGCCATCCTGGTGTCGGCTGGCCCCGCAGCCGGCGCAGCCATCGGTGGCGGCATCGGAGGCTGCATAGGCGATCGGCTATACCGGACCTGGTCCAAAAAGTACGCACGCACGGCGGTGAGCCACTTTTCCGTGGTCGTCGGGCCCTTCCTGATGATCATAATGTTCTTCGTCTTTCCGCAGCGGGAGGAGTCGTGGTGGATGTTTGGCCTCTACGGCCTCTTCGCGGGCATGTTCATCTCCTGGTCGGCGCCAAACAACAACGCCATCCTGTCGGACGTGTTCCCCGAGGCCACCTTCCCGCTCGCGTACGGCGTCGCGCAGCTGGCGGAGGGGTCCGTCTCGGCGTGGGCACCATTTGCCGTTGCGGTCATCGCCGAGAAGGTCTTCGACGTGGGAGAGCTCCAGAATTTCGACTGCAAGTCGGACGAGGAGAAGGAGGACGATGCCAGGGGGCTCAGCTTAGCCATCTTCTCCGTCTGCTGTGTCGGCTGGGGCATGTGCGGCGTCGTCGTCACTGGCTTCTACTTTTATTACCCGTCAGAGTCCAGATCGCTCCAGGAAACCGCGACGTCTCGGCTATCTGCGGGATCAACCGAGCCCGAGCTATCGCCGGACAACCCGTCTTCGTTTTCGCAAGAGCTGCCAGTGTCGCCCTCTCGGGCAGATACGCCGGGGGTACGGCCAGTCGCCTCGCGAGTATGACCTTTGCTCTCGTTCCACCCTTGCAGCACCTCAACGGTCTCTCTCTCAGCCTCAGAGCTCAGCTCGCGCATGTATGCCGCGCAGCCCTGCGCCGTGCATGGATGTCGCTACTTAGTACTTTTCGGGGGAACGGGGCCAGGCGATGGCCAATGCGCGCGTGCAGCAAACTTCGCAGTGTCAAGGTTGGTGCTAGTTATGGGGCCTTGTGTGCTCTCTCTTCTTCACTGGGGGCACATGTAAAAACGCTCAGGGTTTTCACAAAGAAATATCATGGCGTGCGTCTCTGCGCTCGTCCGCGCATGGCGCAGCCGCAGGCGGCGCCCTCTCGCGCTCTCTCCTCTCTGCGGCGTCGATCATCTGCGGCGGCTCCGGCTCCAGCCTGAGCCGCCGTCGCTGCCACGTGTGCAGCGAGCGGTAGTGCGCCACCTTGCGCTTCAAGTAGAAGTCCGCCCAGCGAGCCTAGTTAGTGCATAGAGTGAAGCCTTAAAAATAGAGAAGCAACCATGCTCGACGGCGACGCTAGGCTGCTGCTGCCCAGCGCACCTCGGCCGGCCCTCCGGTCGGGTCGGACTGGAAGAGGGAGATGGAGTCGCGGTAAAACGCGAAGGGGATGTCCCTCGTCGCGAGCTCGTCGGTGTGGCGGTGCTTGAGGAACTTGTTGCGCCAGACCTCGTAGGTGCATGACTCGAAGTGGAGGACACACGCGTCCTGCAGTGCAGAGGAGCGCCAGAGCCGACGGGTGCGCGCCTTGCCGCATGGCCGGAGAAGCGACAAGGAGGGGGGAGAGGCGGGGGCGAGGGGAATGGGAGGGGCGGTGTGTCGCGCCTCCACCGACACGATGTGGCTCTCTCCGCTGAAGCGGTGCGGCCCCTGCCAGCGGGCGAGCGAGGTTCGACCGGCCGCCTTGCCGTTGCGGTAGGCGAGCATCTTGTGCAGGGTGAAGGTTGTGATGTCCTCGAAGGCGCAATGCGAGCCGAGTCGGTGCGGGACCGCCTCAAGGTTGATGAAGACGAGCGAGCTGACGCCTGCGCCGCGGGCCGGTGGCCTTTGAAGGCTTGTGTGGGTGTGCACAGCCCCTTGGGAGTGTGAATGGGAGATCTGCAGGCTGGAGCGATTTCATTCATGAACGAGTGGTGGGTGTGCTACCCGCGGGCGGCAGAGGGAGAATCGCGGGCCGGCGCATATGCCTTCGGGCGCGTGGTGCGCGATGGCGGAGAAGGGGACGTCGAGGTGGAGGATCTCGTCGTCGTCGATGTGGAGGAGCCAGGGGATGCGTTGAACGCGGCAGAGCTTGAGGGAGCGGCGGACCTGCGCCTCCTGTCGCTGCTGCAGCGTGTAATAGTTGTCGGGCGACGCGTCTTCGCCGCTCGTCACCGTCACAAAGCCGCGAAACTCGTCCGAATCCAGAAGCTCGAGCAGCTCTGGCGTGTCCTCGACATGGATAAAAACGTGGCACACTCCGAGGGATTTGTGGTAGCGCAGCCACCAGTCGAAGCGGTGAGGCTTGCGAGTCATCAGAGTGATCGCGAGGCGCGTGTCTCCGTCGTCGTCCGAGAGGAGGCGCGCGTCGGAGGGTTCCGCCGCCTCCGTGATCGCCTCTGTGACCGCGTCGTCTGTTCGAGGTTGGCACTTTTTTGAGGTGGACGCGAAGCAGCGCCAGAGCGCTTTCATGTTTGGTGCCCCGCACGTCAACGAGGAAGTAGCTGTGAGCGCTGTCAGAGCGGTGTTTCGACACCGATATCGTGTCAAGCCCAGCCAGACGACGGCGCCTCAAACGGGGAGAAAAATCTGTGGCGTCGAGTTCATTTTCGTATTGCCGTGATCTTTTTTCTTTCTTTCTTTCTTTTTAAAAATCGCGATGGTTTAGATTTACTAAACACGGTACCCCGCTGCCGCGCCCCATCGTGTGGTTCGTGGCGATCTTTGGTGCCTTGAGCGCTGGGGAGGCGCCCACCGGGGGACCCTAAAAGTGGCGCGTAGTGCCGTACGCTCACTCCTGCCTGGCCGTCACTCGGGATGTGTTGCAGCCAGAGGGCCCAACTTGAGAATCGTGCTTTTTGTGAGGCTGTTTCGTGTTAGGTTGGGTTGTGCTTGGGTGAGGTTGTTCCGAGCGAGGTTAGGTCGTCGGCGCGAAGGGTGAGGTCTCGACCGCCGCCGCTCACGCCAGCGGACGGCCACCATCGGTGTTTTTGGCTTCGCCACCGTCCAAGGCGTGCGCCATGCGCTCGCCGACATCGAGCGTCCGAGCTCGCCTGTCCGACGAGCGGCTTGCTGTGCGGACGCCTTCTTATGGCTCTCGTCGAGAGCGTTTTGCGTCCCGGCGGGTGGGAGAATATGTGTCGTCTGATGTGTCACTGTGTACGTCACACCAGTCTTGATAACAAGCACGGTCGATCCGTCAAAGCGATACACTCGTTCCTATTGAGCACTTGAGCACTGGATAGGGTCGATTCTGCGTGCTACGGGACCCCTCGATCGTCTCGCCCTCCCTCACTGGTGTGTTCATTGGGGGGGGTCATAACAAACACGGTACAGGATCGAGGTGCACGCTGCCGAGGCAGTGTCGTCCCCCCATTCCCCGACGGCGATGGCGGTGTGACCGATCGAGCTACAAGAGGAGCTTGTTCAGCAGGATCCGAGTTAGACCGGTGCACTACCTCACTGGGCCTGAGACCACCGGAACGCTTCTCGTCACCGTCTCGGGTTTGGGATCGAACCACTCCGGAATGGGCAAGCCCATCGTTCGCTGGGTTGTGCCTTTCCCTCACCTGCAGGAGACCACGTTGGAGGGCTGGCACAGAGAGCGACAAGAAGGCGTCCGCACAGCAAGCCGCTCGTCGGACAGGCGAGCTCGGACGCTCGATGTCGGCGAGCGCATGGCGCACGCTTTGGACGGTAGCGAAGCCAAAAACACCGATGGTGCTTGGTGGCCGTCCGCTGGCGTGAGCGGCGGCGGTCGAGACCTCACCCTTCGCGCCGACGACCTAACCTCACTCGGAACAACCTCACCCAAACAACCCAACCTAACACGAAACAACCTCACCCAAAAAGCACGATTCTCAAGTTGGGCCCTCAGCCAGGTCGTGTGAGGTGTCTGTGTGACTGTCCTGGTGTGTGTCTTTGTGTCGCTCCTGGCATTGGCTGGCCGTCTCTCCGTCTCTCTCTCGCTTGCTTCCACAATCGTCCGTGCTGCCGTTGTCTACGAGGAGCGCGGCGACGGCGCCCTGCGTTGTTGGCGCCCGCGCTGCATGCACATGCACATGTACATGACATGTGCATGCACAATGTCAGGAGCGTACAACGGGGTGCCACCACATGGCGGACCTTCCCTTTTTTTATGGCGTCTCACTTTGCATGCACATGCTGGGGTGATTTTTTGAATGTGTCAACGGCGGCGTCATCTCGTTTGCACAGGAAGAATGTCATTTTTTGTCGGCTAGTTTCTTTTTGTGTCGAGCCTGTCTGCTGTGAGAGGAGTTGCCGAATTCTTTTTGCGAGGGAGTTTCGTTGTAAAATTCTTTTGAGCTTAGCCTTCGATGTTACGAAAACAAACGCAAGGCGGACATGGCATATCGCTCTCGGGCTCACAGACATCCCTCACACCCGCGCACACCCGCCGCCCCCGCGCGCGCCCCACCCCGGCCGGGAGAAAGGGGAGTGACAGTTTGGGACTCGCAAGCCCGAGTATGTTGAGTCCTGGCTCAACAACGCAGATAACAAGAGGGGGTGGTCCGGCTCACAGGTCCGGCTCACGCGCCTCGAGCTCGCCATCTACCGCACTGAACACTTCCGCCCCCTCGCTCCCAACCCACCCACCCACCTCGCCTCGGGCCGCGCCGCGCGATCTCGGGCGATCTCGGGCCGCGCCGCGCGATCTCGGGCGATCTCGCGCTATATCAATTCTTTTTGTCCTTCGCTTCGAAAATGGGTTTGACCGCGGGCGACTTCGAAGCTCGCGTCGCACCGCTCCGCTCGCTGGATCCGAAGAAGCTCGCGCGCGAGCGCTCCAAGCTTGTCCTCGCGCACGGCCAGTTCCTCGCCCAATTTGCGACGCGGGCGCTGGAGGCGCTTCCCAAGGACGTGCGAAGCGGCGCCGCCTCGCCCGCAGCGCAGACCCTGCGGCTCGCCTCCTGCGCGCGCGAGGCGGCGCAGCTCATTCTGACGCTGCGAGCCTTCCCTTCGCCCACGCCGGAGAAGCTCTGCTACAACGTCGCGTCCCGCTGCCTGGCACTCGGCGAGGTGCGGCCGGCAGCCGCACTCGCGCTCGAGCTGGTCGCGGCGCTCCGCAAGGCCGCCAGCAAGAGCGCCGCAGCCAAGCGCGCGCAGGCGACGCCGGCGCTCGCCGATGCGTGCTCTGATGGACCGCCAGATTCGCACGCGCCGCTCGGCGGCGAGGGGAGCGAGGCGTGTGTCCTTGCGGCGAGTGCGCTCGGGCTGCACCTGAGGGCGCTCGAGCTGCTGAGCCGTGCAGAGCCCTCCGCCGAGGAGGAAGAGGCGCCAACGCAGCGGATGCTCCGGGCCGTGCCGCTCGCGCTGAGCTGGCTCGAGCGGCTGCGTGCGGCCGACGGCCTGAGCGAGCGCAGGGAGAACGCGCCGAAGCGTCAGAGCGAGGCGGCCACGCATGCGGCGGAGCGGGTGCTGCCTGCCCTGACTGCGACGCTGGCCGCGCTGCGCAAGGCGGGCGCCGCCGAGCCGCGCCGGCTGGAGGCGTGGCACACAGCGGCGGCGGCGCTGCGCGGTGCCGAGGCCAGCGGCGCTGCGGGCGGGAGGCTCTCTTGCCCCGAGGCTGCCGCGTACGCAGAGGCCGCCAGGCAGCTCGGCCGGGCGGCGCCGCTCGGCGCGAGGGGGGAGGGGAGCGCGCCGCCGCTGGAGAAGGAGCAGGCCGAGGCAGCGCTCTCGCAGCTCCAGGCGGCGGCCCGCCACGCGGGCGCCGCCGCGCTCGACCGCGAGCGCTGCCAGGCCCTCGCGAGCGGGCTAAACGCGTTGTACCAGGCCTTTGCCGGCCGCGTGGGGCCGCTGCCGATGCGGCGCCTTGACGCGGAGGGGGGCGCGGCGCAGCCGGCGCAGCTGCCGCTGCCGCGCCCGCTGCTCTGGGAGCTCGCCGCCGCCTTCGACCGCTTCGCCGCCGTCGTCGACGCCGGCGTCGAGCTCGAGCGAGGCGGCGCGGCAGCGGCGGCGGCCAAGCCCGCCTCCAAGCCAGCCTCGCGGCCGGCCGTCTTCAGCGGCCTCGGGCCGAAGCAGGCGGCGGTGCTGGTGGCCGCCGCGAAGCTGCGCTTTGCATACGACGGCGCGGTCGGCGCGAGCGATGCGGACGCCGGCTCCCTCTCGGGGGACTGCCTCTCGGGGGACTGTCTCTCTGGGGACTGTCTCTCTGGGGACTGCCTCTCTGGGGACTGGGTCGCCGGCGTGGCCAGCAGGCTGCAGCGCGCGGCTTGCGTCGTCCTGCACGGCGCCGGCGCGGGCCGGAGTGGCGGGCGTGCGGAGGCGGCGCCGCGAGCGGGGGCGGCGGCGGCGGCCGACCCGTCCGTGTCCGCCGTGTGGGTGGCGCGGACGTGCCAGCAGCTGGCCGCCAAGCTCTTCAACGCCTCGCAGCCCCGCCGCGCCGCTTGCCTGGCCGGCTGCTGCGTCGAGCAGCTGCGGCGCGCGGCCGGCGGAGGGGCGGAGGAGGCGGCGCTCCTCTGCAGCGCGCATCAGATCGGGGCGCACAGCGGGCTCCAGGCGAAGCCACCCGCCCCACTCGAGGCGAGGAGGCACGTGCTCGCTGCCATTCAGATCCGCTGCGCCGCACTCGATGAGGAGGGCGGAGGAGCGGAGGGCGGAGGAGGAGCGGGCGCGGCAGCGAGCCGGCCGAGCGTGCGCGACTTGTGCGCGCTGCACGTCAGCTGCCTCGTCCGCGGCGTGTCCGAGGGCGTGCTCTCCGACGACGGCGCGGAGCTCGACCACGTCGTGTGGGCGCTCCCTCCGCCCGCCCGCCGGCTGGTTGTGCGTCTCGAGCTCGAGGAGACGGCGCAGCAGCTCGGCCGGCTGCGCGAGGCCGCCGCCGCGCGCTACCTGCACCGGTACGCCGAGGCGGCGGGGAGGAGGCTGCTGGAGCTGCTCCCGGCGGGGGAGGACGCCCATGGCCGAGCCCAGCTCCTGCTGCGGCTGGCCGAGGTCTCGCGCCTCTTCGCGTCGCACTTCGCGCAAGAGGCGGCGGCGGCAGACGCGGCCGCGGGGGGGGCTGAGCTGGCGGCCCGGTCCGCGGCGCTCGAGAGGGCTGGCGAGGACGCGCGAGAGGGCTTGGCGCTGCTCGGGTCGCCAGCCGCCTCGAGCGGGCCTGGCGGCGGAGAGAGCAGCAAGGAGGGCTCGCGCGGAGAGAGCAGCGGGGAGGCCTCCCGGCTGGGTGCGGACGAGGCTGGGTTGCGCCTCGCCGACGTCAAGGAGCTCAAGGTCAAGGAGCTCAAGGAGGAGCTGCAGCGGCGGGGGCTCTCGGCGAGCGGCAAGAAGCAGCAGCTCGTCGACCGGCTCACCGAGGCGCTGCAGCAGCAACACGCGCCGCCCACCGCCTCCAGCCCGGCATCCGCTCTGCCGGCGGGGGCCTGCCTTCTCGCCTCGCCTCCCGCCTCGCCTCCCACCTCTGCCGAGGGGCTCGACTTGCAGGCACGCCTCTTCCTCCTCCTCGCCGGGACGACGCTCGACTTGGCGGCGCGCGGGCCGGCTTGCGAGGTCGCGGGCGAGCCTGCCGCCGCGGCGGAGCCCGACTTTGTAGCGCTCGACGCAGCGAGGCAGCACTGCGCCCGCGCCGCTCAGAGCTGGCAGCGCCTCGCCGCCGAGTATGGGGCGCCGGGCGGGCGCGCGAGCTCCTTCCCGGCGAGCAGAGAGACGGCCTCGGCCCTGGAGCGGTGCAGCCGTCTCTGCTGGCGGCTGATGGCCTCGTTCGACGCGCTGAGGATGGCACGGCTCGCGGTGGCCGCGGCGGCGGCTTGCTCCTCCCCTGAGGAGGCGTCGGCTCGGCGGTGGTGTGCGACGCTGCTGGCAGACATGCACGCGCCGTGGCCCAGCGTCGATGCGGCGCTCTCGTCGGAGAGCGGCGCGCCGCCGTGCGTGCGCGACGCTCTGGCGGCCGAGGCGGAGCTGGCGGGTGCTGCGAGCCTGCGCGGGGCCGGGTCCAGTCTGGCGCGTGCGGAGCGCGCTCTGACGGCGCAGGCGGATCGCCGCGGCAAGGGCGACCCGCTCCTTCTCAGCCGCTGCCAGAGCGCTCTCTCGCGGAGCCTCCTCGCCTCCGGCGCCTTCCCGCTGGCCGCGCGCCACGCAGAGCAGGCCCTGCTGCGGGCCAAGCAGCCGAGGAGCGCGGCGCACGACGGCGACGCGGCGAGCTCAACCTGCCGCGCGTTGCTCGCGCTGGCCGAGATGTGGCGCGCTCGGGGGAGCTACGCCGATGCGCACAAGTACGCGGCGAGCGCTTGCTCGCTGTCGGCGCAGTCGCGGCAGGCGGCGCTGCTCTTTGAGAGCCGGCTCGCGCAGCTGCGGCTGCAGTGCGACGGGATGCGCTTCGAGGAGGCGGCCGAGACGGCATCGTCGGTCGAGGCGCTCCTGCGCGGCATGCGCGCTCTCGAGGCGGCGGGGGGGCGGCCTCCTGCGGTGACCGAGCTCGGCGAGGCGCGCCTCCAGCTGGTGCAGGGCGAGCTGCTGCTCGCGCGGGAGGGGGCGGGGGCGGCGCAGGCTTCGCTCAACGCGTGCGAGGCGGGGCTGCGGCTGCTGGCCGCGCTGCCCTCGCAGTTGGGGGCGGTGCTGGAGGGCGCCGAGGGGCAGGCCGACAGCGCGGCTGTGCCCCCGCTTGGGGTCGCTCTCTTGCTCGAGGCGGGGCTCTGTACGCGGGCGGGCGAGGCGGCGTGCACGCTCGGCGACCTCGGCCGCGCCCGGGCCTTTGTCGACCAGTCGGTGGAGTCCTGCCGCGGCCTGCGCGGGACGGTGATGCCTTGCCAGCCGAGTCTCGTGGGCGATGTGGAGCTGGCGCGCGCATTGCTCGTCTCGGCCGAGCTGCGCTTGCTCGCGCGGGGCGACAGTGGGGGCGACAGTGGGGGCGCGGATCTGCGCGCGGCGTCGTGCGAGCTGTCGTCCGCCCTGCGACTCTGCGCCGCCCTCTCCCCTCCCGCGCTCATGCGGCGGGTGTGCGTCGCATTGGCGGCGTGCTGCACCGGGTCGCACGCGCAGGCGGGCGCCGATTTGCTCGCCGGCTCGAGTGGCGTCGCGCTGCGGCGCCAGCTGCACTTGTTGGACGGCCGCGCGCGAGGTTGCGGCGGGCAGGCGAGCAAGCCGGCCGAGGGCGGGGCGGGGGGCGGGGCGGAGGACGGAGCGGAGGACGAGGCGGAGGCGTCTCTCGCCGACGCGCTGCACGCAGTGTCGCTCGAGCCCGCACCGCCGCTGGGCGAGGAGGGAGGTTGCGCGGTGCCGTCGCTGCCCTGGCCCGTCGGCTTCGAGGAGTGGGTGCGGGCTGCGCCTGCGGGCTACAGCGCGTGCGCTCTCGCAGTCGCACCGGGCGGGCGAGGCCTGCTGCTCGGCAGCTGGCGCACCGGGCGGCCAGCCGTGGTGATCAACACCTCCGAGGTTGGCGCGGCGGGCGCGGCGGGCGGCATCGAGGCCGTCAAGTCGGAGCTGCGCCAGATCCTCGAGGACGGCCGCGCCGCGTCGAGCGACGCAGCCGGGCAGGCGGCGGCGGCGGCGGCGGCGGAGCTCCCTCGGCTGGGGACGGCGAGGCGGCCGCCCCAGTGGCCTCGAGCCGAGCTTGTGCCCGAGGGGGAGGGGCGCGGCGCCATCGTGCTTGGCCGGGATTGCCCCACCGTCGTGCTCGGCCGGGCTCAGGAAGGCGGCGGGCGGATCGACCTCGACGAGGTGAGCTCCTCGCACTGCAAGCTGACGCTGAGCGAGAGCGGCACCCTCTCCCTCACCGACCTCTCCACCAACGGGACGTACGTCGACGGGGTCCGGCCGAAGCGCGACCGCCGCACCGTCGAGCTGCGCGACGGGAGCCGTGTCACGCTCGTCAGCAAGACCGCGCAGGACTGCCGGGACCGCTTCGGCCCGCTCGCGCCCAGCTATGTGGTGCGCCTCGCGGCGAGCACCCCGCCCGAGAGGCGGCAGGCGGACGCGGACGCGGACGCGGAGGCTACGGCGCGCGAGCGGCTCGAGCGGTCGCTGTACTGGTCGAGCCGCGAGCAGCTCGACTCGCGGATGCGCGAGCTGACCGCGCGGCTCGAGGACGCGCTCGGCCCCGCGGCGCTGCTGCTGCTCGCCTTGCCGGCCTGCCCGGAGGCGCGGTCTGCGGCGGAGGCGCTCGGCGAGAGCATCGTCGAGCAGGCCGGCCGGCTGGGCTGGCAGTGCGACGAGGCGCTGCTCCGCGCCGCCGCCGAGGCGTCTCCGTGGCTCACGGACGAGCGGCTGCACCGCGCCCTCCTCGGGCTCGTCCGGAAGGGCGGCAAGCCGGTGGCTGCCGCGGCGCTCCGCGCGGCGGTACAGTCGCTGCGGAAGCGGTGGCAGAGCCTCGGCGCGCCCCGCGGCAGCCCGCCCGCGGCGACGGGGGCCGCGGGCGATGCCGCGGGCGAGGGCGATGCCGCGGGCGAGGGCGTGCTTCGTTCGCCGCTCGTTTTGGTGGTCGACGAGTCGCTCGCTTCGCTGCCGTGGGAGTGCATCCCGTCGCTCGTCGAGCAGCCTGTGGCGCGGCTGCCGTGCGCCGCGTACGTCGACCGTTGCGTGGCGGCGGCGGACGCCCGGGGCGGGAGCGTCGCCTCCTCGGACGCGTACTACCTCCTCAACCCGAGCGGCGACCTGCAGCGGACGCAGGCGGCGTTTGAGGAGCGGTTCGCGAGGCCGCCGTGGGAGGGCGTGGTGGGTGAGCCACCCGCGGAGGAGGCGCTCCGCTCGGCGCTCGAGCGGAAGGACCTCTTCGTGTATTGCGGCCACGGCGACGGCAGCCGCTTCATCTCTGCCGACAGCCTGCACCGGCTCCCTCGCTGCTCGGTGTCCGTCCTGATGGGCTGCAGCTCCGGGGCGCTCAAGCGGGTCGGCGGGCTGGCGCCCTCGGGCATGGCGCTCAGCTGCTTGAACGCGCGCTCGCCCGCCGTCGTCGCCAACCTGTGGGACGTGACCGACGGCGAGAGCGACCGCTTCTGCCGCGCGCTCATGGACAGCTTCGAGCGGGGCGGATGCCTCCTCACCGCCGTGGCGAGCGCGCGCCGTGCGTGTCGGCTCCGCTACCTCACAGGGGCCGCGGCGGTGTGCTACGGCGCTCCGATCACGGTGGAGCCGAGGGGAGGAGCGGAGGCGTGACCGGCTGGACGGCTGGACGCAGAGAGAGCGCGAGCGCAACTTGAAGAGAGAGGACAGCGCGTGTACGTGTGAGCCGCTGGAGGACCGGGTCGACCGTCTGTGGGCCTCGACTTCGAGAGGGAGAGTAGGGAGCTGCTGGGAGAGAGCGCTCTTGTTCCGTACACGGTGTGTGTCGCGCTCGCCCTGGGAGGAAGCGGGCGGCTGTCGTGTGTTCTCCCCCCCTGCGTTTCTGGGCCCGAGAGCCTTTTCGTCGTGTATTGATTGTGAGATACTGGGGTTGAGATTACGTGTGCATTTCGATGGACATGGTTCATGGAGCCGGAGACGCGGAGCGCGGGGGCGGTCGGCTCTGGCCAGTGCGCGGAACGGTGCCGGTCGTGTGGGCGGTGGGGCTGGGCGAGTCCGAGTGGGACTGTCAGGGTCCCTCCAGGGTGTGCTGTCCTGCGCGCTGGGGCGACTGCTTCGTGCGTCGCTGCCGGACCGGCGGGCAGCGCCGCCTCCCTTCGCTCGAGAACTGACAGGTTGGCGTCTGTCTGAGCAGGAGCCGACGCTCGTCGGGAGCTGTGTCATGAGCCTCGCTCCGCTCGGAGGTCCCCGCCGCGCGCACTTGCGGGTCCTCTACTTGCGGCGGGCAGCGGCGGGCGCGGGGTAAGGGTTCCCGCCCGCTAGGCGCTGCCCTCTGCGCCGAGGCTCGACCCGCTTCTCCTCAGTTCACTAGCACAAACTAAAGTACTTGGGCTCAACCTCAAAGCTGTCAGCTGGGTTCTGGCACGTGGCAGCCTGGTCCCTGGAGTGGACCGAGCGGGGAGAGAGCGCAGCGAGCTGCGTGCCTGAGCTGTGCTCTTGAAAGTCGAAATGACAAATGTAACGATTGGTCTGGCCCGGCTATACGCTCTTGCGTGTGGACTGGTCATGTTAACGGCACATGCAATAGAGATAAAGGCGCACCTCTTACAGTGCAGAGAGAGAGGGGAGACTCGAGATCCAGGCGCGGATTTGGCTGACGCAGTGAGGGCTCAGAGCGGTCGCGAGAACCGCGCCGGCCAGCAGAGAGCGTCAGACGCTCGACTCCCCTCCAGCCCGTTGGCGATCGAGCCCGAGCTGTCCAGGACCCGACACAAGACACAGACTCCAGGCCCGCCCGCCCCCGCCTCTGCGCGCTACGAACAGGAGGTGGGGAGCGGGCAGGGGCGCATGCACAGCCGCCAGTCACTCTAGAAGCCCGCGCGGCCGCCGGCGGTGGTCTGGATCGGATCGGCGGAGATGCCGGCGGCGACGAGGGCGAGCGCGAGGGCCGCGATGACGCCGCCGACGATGAGGGTGAAGGTCTGCTCACTCTGCGCGTCGATCTCGACCAGCTTTTGGCAGACGGCGGAGCGAGTGCCCGTCGAGTCGCAGTCGAGGATGCGGTAGACCCACGTCCCGGGCGAGCAGGTGTCGTCGATGAAGGTGTAGTCGCCTCCGCCGGGGCCCTTGGTCCTGAGCGGCGCGAAGCTCTCGAACGACTCGAGGTCGGCGAAGGCATCGGTGCCTGCGGAGCAGAGGCGGGGCTGGGGCGGCACGCGGCGGGGGCAGGCTGCCGAGGAGGAGCCCGGGAGGAGGGCACCTCCCTGTCGCCGCTGCACGATGAAGCCGGCGTTGCCCTCCTCGTTGCCGGTGGACCACTTCAGCTCCACCTCGTCCTCGGACAGGATCTTTGACTTGAGGCCGCCGCCTGGCGGCAGAGGCGGGCCGGGCGTGAGGCGGCGCGGCGAGGGAGGCGTCTGGAGGGGGAGGAGGCCGCGCGCCAGCGCCGAGCTCCGCCGCCTGCGGGTCCATCGCGTACGGGTCGAGCTGCTTCGCCTGCGCCGCCTGCCGCGCCTTGCGCTCCTTGCGCTCGCGGTCCGCGCGGGCAATCGCCTCGGCGTCCACTTTCATCCACGGCGCAAACTCGACACCCGTCTCGGAGCGCATGCCACGCACGACCCGCTTCGCGCCCTCCGACAGCTCCTGCGTCTGCGTCACGACGTTCCCCTCTGCGTCCACCAGCTCCTCTGCGTCCTGCATCGCGAGAAACTCCTCCTCGCTCATCTCGTCCGACATCCGCACGCGCGCCGCGGCAAGGCGCAGGCCGGAGAAGGCAGCAGCTGGGGCCGCGCCGGCGGGCTGCAGCGCAGGACGCGGCGCGGCGCCGGCCGCGGAGAGTGTGTAGCCGACGGAGGCGGAGGAGGAGAACACGACGGCGAAGAGCATGCCTAGTGAATGCAAATCCCGCGGAAGATACCCATAAAATTCGCATTTTTAGAAGAAACAGCCGGAACGGCACGCGGCAGCGACGTCTCAGAACAGGTCGGGGTGCCACATGGGGCACACCACAGGCGTATTCTAGAGGGGGAAAAGAAACGGGGAATGAGGGGCCCCGCCACGAGAAGTGCGTTCTGGGGATGCAGAGCGTGCAAGGCGGCTAGGGATGAGGCCACAAAAGAGGCGCGCGAGGCAAGGAGGAGACGCGGGGAACTGACAGACTGGGACGACTGGAAACAAGAAGACAGTGAGCCACCACAGGCGTCGTTGGCGCACATACTGAGCGGCAGCTGCGCTGGAAATAAGGAAGAGGCGCGTCACTTCATGCGGAAGCTCGACAAACACACAGCGAGGGCGACAGCAAGAGTTGAACGGGAGGCGCCGGACTCAAAAGACACCGCCACATTCCTGAGACGAGCGAGGGCAGCCTCCTTAAAGGCGAAAGGGTCTAGATTTGGAGCGCTCGCCGAAGAGGAGTACGACAAAATAGCGCCCGTGATTGCCTGCACGCTACCCGCACTCACGGACTCCATACCCGAAAGAAAGAGAAGGGAGCTCGCGGGAGAGGTGACGAGTGAACTACAGGTAGTGGGGAAGGCAGCCTCGATTGCCATACAGACATGGGTGCGAAACAACGACAAGACCAAGGCACGGGCAGAGGAACGAGAGAAGAATATAGGGTGGATAAAGCGCCTGTTCACGGCATGGAGGGTGAGCCACACCGAACGTACCGAGCGAAGAGCCGAGCGGAAGGAGGACGGGGAAGATGACTCCGAGGACGACGAACCAGTGGAAATCCAGTTGTCAGATGTCACGATGCATCCAAAGGGGACCCCAGCGCCGGCATCATCCGTAGAGGCACGAGTGTTCGAAGAGAGAGTGGACCTGAGCAACAACATGACCTGTAGGCAAATGATCGGAGTGGGAGTCAGAAACGTGGTCCTTGCGCGAGGGGAGCTCGATAGACTCGAGGGGCCAGGATACGCCGCGAGGAGGACGGAGTTGCGCCGAAAGGCGAAAGAAGCCGCGAGAACAAGGGACCGGCAGGCGGCGGCGTCACAGGACGAGGCAGAAGGGAACGACGCGACAGAGGAGGAAATGACAAGGGAGAGAACGACGAGAGTGGGACGACCGCGAGGTGGCATGAAGGTTGCAGCGAGAATCGGAGAGAGACTGCGAAGAGAGATAGGAAGAGGCAGACTCCCTAGGGTGGGCGACGGCTAGCGCACCACACACCTCTCCTTAAAATCCCTGTGTGGTGGCGGCGTGCCGTCCTCCCATCCCTCCCTTGGGTTGTCTGTTTTCTTTCTTTCTTTTACGTCTCAGAACGAGGCCGAGGAGAGCGATGAGTCAGAGGATGAAACAGCAGGAGAGAGAACGACGAGAGTGGGAAGAACGCCAGCCAGGTGGCATCATGAAGGTTGGTTGCATGCAGTGAGAATCGGAGAGAGAGAATCAGCGAGGGACTGCGAAGAGAGCAACCCTTTTCCTGGCTCACAAGCTAAAGATGTTCACGGGCCCCCACAGGGAGGGCCCTTGCCGAAACCCGGGCAAAGCACTGGCCGCCACGCGCAGGAGCGGCTACACAAGTCCACACTCGACTCTCGAGTCGCACGGTCCGCCTCGCTTGAACGGCTGCTTCCACAGGAGGTGCAAAAACCGCCGCGCTCCACGCCCAGCTACAGCCTGGCCACCCCGCGCGGACACGGGGCGCTCCATAGCCCGACTCGACTGCCCGGCCGCTCACACACCGCCTCGGCCGCCCACGCCGACGCACAGACCCACCTGCGCCCGGCGGTGACGCGTGCTCTCAAAGGGGCGCGTTTTCTTTTGTTTATCGCCAGTCCGAACCTGTGTCGAGCCTGTCTGCTGTGAGAGAGAGTTGTTTTGTTTAAATTCTTTTGGAGTGCTCGGGCACAAGGTGCGACAATAGCACGCACACTAGGCGACACAGGCACCCCCATGGGTTCATGTGGCCGAGCTTGAGGCCGCCTGCCGCTTGCTTGTTCTTGACCAGGTACATACTTGCTTAACACGGTCACACACCGACTCGCGACTGCAACCCCGAGGCGAAAAAAAACATTAGAGACACACCCCTGCTGCTCTTTGAGCTCACACACGCCTACGACAATCGTGCTGCCGGCGCGGACGCGGGGGCCGTAAACTTAATTAGCTTTTGAGAGCTGCATATGTACAACACGTTCAAGTGAATTATTCAAGAAACAGTAGACAAAACTTCTCCAACTCCATCTCATGCATATCTTGCCCCCCCCCCCCCCCCGTGTATCGTGTGCATGGGCCGGGGGGTGAGCGGATCTCTCACACCGAGACACACCCTGCTGCGTGTCAGCTCGCCCCTCCGCCTCCAAGTGCGAGGGGGCCTCCACGCGAGCAAGGGTGAAGGAGGGTGGGCGCCACAGCGCCGCGCCCGCAGCCTCTCTACCAGTGGAACGAGCCGTCCGCCGCAGTGTGCTCCGCCAGCATGGACTGCCCGGCGGTCAGGGCGTCGAAGGCCTCCCTCTCGAGGGCGAGCAGCTTGCGCCCCTGCACCTCAACGTCGGCCGAGCCCCAGAAGGACCCCTGCGCCCAGCCGGCCACGCACTTGGTCACCCAGCCGGGGAGCATGTCGATCACGTGCGCCGCGCGAGGGGACGCCACAGCGACGGCGGCGCGGAGCACGGCGCGCCAGTCCGCCTGCGCCTTGCCCTCGATGCCCGACGCGGAGGAGGTGAAGCCGACGCGCATCGAGCCCGCCGAAGTGCCGTCCGCGCCGCCCTGGCGGCCGAGCGCCATCTGGCCGAGCGCCGTCTCGCGTGCGAGCCGCGAGGCGGTCGAGAAGAGGACACCGAGCGGGATCTCCGCCTCGAGCGAGGCGGGAGGGTGGGCGACGTACGAGACGGACGAGCGCGTGTACGTGCCGACCAGGTCGGCGTCGGCCGCGCGCACGGTCCAGGCAAACGCGCTTCCGGCCTCGAGGTCCGCCTTGGCCGCCTCGGCCACCGCCTTGAGCTGCGAGAGGTCGTACGATCCTCCGATGGGCGCGCCGTCCACGGCGACGTCGACCTGCTGCAGCGCCGACCACGCCACCTTCACGAGGCGCTTGAGGGTGCCGACGACGGCCTGCGTCCGCTCCTCGCCGGCCGACTCGTGCGACGCGGCGAGCAGGTCGCGCAGCACCGCCATCGCGTCGTCCGCCACCTGCTGCAGCGGCTTACTCTGGCCCGCGAGGACGCCGTTGAGGGCGGTGAGCACGTCCGGCGCCGCAGTCGACGCCTCGCCGCTCGCCATCGCGTCGACGAGCGCGTTCAGCTCGGGGGTGAGCAGGATCGTGCGCAGGTCGGCCGCCGAGGCGAAGGCCTTGTCAATCGCCGGCGCGGTCGCGTCGAGGAGGCAGCGGTAGATGCCCGACAGCCGGGCGGTCGGGGAGCGGTCCTGCACGCAGGCGGTGACGGCGGCGGCGTCGCCGACTCCCTCGCGGGAGATTAGCTCGAGGTCGAGAGCGACGAGGCCGTCCCAGAGGAAGGAGAGCACGTCTGGGAAGCCGGGCGGGCGCAGGGCGTCGAGCTTGTTGACGATGCCCCAGATAAGGTCCAGCTTGTTTGCCCACGCGTCGAGCAGGCAGGAGAGCGTCTCGGACGCGGGGACGCTGCCCGACGTGTCGAAGGCCTCGAGGGCCGTCGCCGCGCAGGCAACCGACTTGTGCACGTTCTCGACACCGAGCGCGTCGAGCACGAGATTCGCGCCTGCCGAGTCGCACTGCACCTCCCACCACGGCGCATCCTGCACCGACTTGATCTCGAGGGCCACCTCACCCTTGCCGGCGGCCGCGGCGGCTGAGCCGGCGGCGGGCGCGGCGCGGAAGGAGAGCTGGCGAGCTCCGCAGCCGGAGACGCGGAGGGAGGCGTCGGCGTGCCCACCCCACCGCGCCTTGGCGACGTGGCCGTCGATGAGCAGGGTGGGGGACGTGCCGCCGATGGTGAGGGTCGAGTTGGTTCGCGAGGCTGGGCCGGCGACCACGTTGGCGAGGGTGAGCTCGGCGCGGTCGCCCGCCACGCTCAGCGAGGGCGAGGTGGAGAAGGTGAGCGGCACGGACTGGCCGTGCGCCTCGGAGGTGACGGGTAGGGTCAGGAGTCCGGATTTCTCGAGCGCGAAGAGCGCCTCGTTGATGGTCCACGGCGTCACGGTGGCGATGAGCTGCTGCGAGCGGTGCTCCACCGGCGGGGCGCTCGGGAGAGCGGTCGGCGCGTAAGGATAGGAGCGCGCGCCCACCGCCGGCGGCGAGGAGAGGACGGTAAGGATGTCGATGACCCACGCGGGCTTCTTGTATCCGATGGAGGTGACGTCGGCGTCGAGCATGAGGTGGCCGGCGCGGGGAAGGACCGTTGCGAGCGGCTCGCCGAGCGGCAGGTGGTGCAGCGGCAGGTGGTGAAGGACGTCGCCAAGCGTGCCGATGACCTTGCCAACCTTCTTCTTGGCGATCCGGTTGGTCACCTTGCCGATGACGCCGGTGATCATGTTTGCAAAGAGGGAGACGCCCTTAAATTCGTGCAGCTGGATGTTGCGCATCTGGAAGTTTGTGTTGACGTAGCGTGCCGCCAAATCGGGCACGCCGCGAGCCGCGCCGAGCGAGATGAGCATCGTGATCTCAGAGTCGTACAGCTCGGCGGAGAAGGAGGCGTCCATCGGGTCGTAGCACATGAAGGTGCAGCCGGCCTGCTTGGCGAGGGAGCTGCCCTCTGCGTGCGCCGAGATGCCCGACACCTTGACGAGCAGGCCGTCGGGCTGGTTGCGCACGGAGATGCCGCCGACCGAGCAGCGCGACAGGGCGAAGGACTTGACGTCGATAGCGACCGGGCCCTCCTCGATAGACTCGTGGCCGAGCAGCTTATCCATCGGGATCCCGCAGACCACGTCGGCGATGACGGGCTTCAGGCCGGCTTCGACGGCGCCCATGAGCGAGTCGGTGGCCCACACGCGGGCGTTCGAAGGCGTGGCTGCCGCAGCGGGCGCAGACAGGAGGAGGGCGGATGCGAGCATGTTGATGAGGCGGCGGGACTGAGGCTCCCGAAAAGCTGCTTCAAGCGCTCCTTGAGGCCGAGGAGAGATGGAGTCACGCCCTTATTTTTCCTTTTGCCGACAACGAGGGATATACCGCGTTGGTGTCCAGTCCGAGCCTGGCTGTTCTTCACCTTCCTACATACATACATACAGGGATAGGAAGAAGCAGACGCCCAGGGGGTAACATGGGGACGGCCGGCTAGCACCACACCTTTCTTTCTCACCTGCCTGCCCGACGCGCGACGGCAGCTGGGGCGGCTGGGTTCCCGTCGGCAAGGGCCTCTGGGGAGTACAAGAGACTAGCACAGGGCGGGCGGGTGGGGAAACGCGCAGCGAGGGAGACTCTCCCTCGGACAGCTCGGCTGCACCTTGCCCCTTGGTGCTCTCCGCGGCAACGCCGTTATCGGTAAAGTTGAGCGTGAAAGGATTGCGAGGAAAAGTAAATGGCGACGTGTACCTTTCCACGGAACGTCGCCGCTTGACGTTGTATCTCCTTCGTTCGCATTTTGGGCGGCCATCGCCACACAGCACACTCCCTAGCTCATCAACTGGCGACCCTGACGGGTCGCCAGCCGATCGTCATGAGTATGGCGAGGCTTTGGCGAACTTGTGGATAACCAATCCACATGGTCGTCACGACCAACAAAATAGAAGAGGGGGGAATCAATGCCAAAGGTCTGAGACCCCTGGGCGCCGGCCCGCGGCCTGGTTAGGACCGCGGGCGGGCGCACCCAACCCCTCAGCTACCTGGCAAAGGCCGATCGTTCCCAGCAGCCTGAGTTTATCCTGACTGCCCGATCGCACCTTGGCCCAAACCGAAGACTCATTGCCACTGTCTCTGGTAACGGCGATCTCCACGCCACGCGGTGAGTGCCACTGCCCCAAATAAATTGTAGCATCTCAGATTGACCGCAAGGGGAGCCCCGGGTACTCTTTACACTTTAGCTGTACTCGTCTAGGCAGGGTTTGCGAAGATATAGGAAGTGGTAGACGCCCAAGGGTGGGAGACGGCTAGCACCACACTTCTCTAAATAAAATCCCGGGTGGCGGCGTGCCGTCCATCCCTCCCTTGGGTTGTTGGCTGTTTTCTTTCTTTTGAGACTACCCGCGTTAGGCTGTATGTTCTATGTATGTTTCCTCTCGCACGCCGCCTCGTTTCTTGTCCGTGTTTCTCTACAGCACCCTCTCGTTTCCTCTCTCGTTTCCGGGGAAACCATCAATCACATTTTCCGGGCTCTGAGCCGAGTCTGAGGCTGGTTTGCCATTGCGCATTGGGCCCAAAATAAGCCGAACGAACCGGCAAAAATCCCCGGTGTTTTGCGGGCATACCTGAAAACCCCGGGTTTACCTGGAAAATACCAGGTAATTTTGCCGGTTTCCTCGAGTTTGCCTCAGATTTTGCCCCAGACGCAGACCAGCTCTCAGCACTCAGGCAGGACTCCAGGGAAACTCGAGAGTTGCCGGAATGGAGCACCAAACACCCTCTGGTTTCCATGGAAATTTCCGGAAACGCAAAGTGCTGGGGACCTCTGGTTTCCCTCTGGGTTGCCGGAAACTCTCATACAGGCCAATACCCGCGGCGCCGCGGGCCTAGAAAGAAGGCCCGCGGAGGCTGCGGGACATTGAGGCCGGTTCACATTGCTTCACACAAACGCAAAACAAACAAACGTCTCGTCTCGCGCGCGCGTGAACAGCAACAGGGCTCCAGGCCCCAAATTACGTGTGAGTGTTAGAGTTGTTTGGTATTGCTAAAAATCTCTCTCTCAAACGCACAATCCCACCCCTGCTTCAAAGAGATCAGACATCGCAGACTGTGAGAGTAAAGAGAGAAAGAAAACAGTAGGCCCCTGGCGAGGTACTTCCAGCCTGCTGTGGGAACAGCTGACGCAGTCTCGCCGAGGCTCGCCCCAGCAGGCGTGGAAAGAAAGAAAGAAAGAAAGAAAACACACAACCCAAGGGAGGGATGGGAGAACGGCACGCCGCCACCACACAGGGATTTTAAGGAGAGGAGTGTGGTGCGCTAGCCGTCGCCCACCCTGGGGAGTCTGCCTCTTCGTATCTCTTTTCGCAGGCGTGGGAGTACCTCGCCGGGGGCTGCCGAATTCTTTCGGAAAACGGCCTGCCCGCCTCGCTCGTCGCTCTGCTCGCAGCCCGCAGCCCGGCTCCATGTCCAACGTCTTCAAGGGCGAGTTCAAGGTGACCACGCAGTCGCTGATGGGCAAGGCCGACGTCAAGAAGCTCCGCTCGTCGCTGCAGGCCGAGTTTCCCGAGCTCACGAAGAAGGCGCTCGACGGCATCCTCGGCAAGGAGGAGGTGGGCGTGCTCAAGTGCTCCAACGGCTCGACGCTCTACGTGCCGGGCGACGGGCCCGCCGCCTTCTTCGACGACGGCTTTGGCGGCGTCTACCCGACGCTGACGACGCTGTGGCGCATCCCCGACATGATGCCGGAGCTGGTGACGCACGCGCCGGTCTCAAAGTTCCTGCTGCCAAAGGATCGGTCCGCGGGCGCCGACATGATGCTTCCCGGCGTCATCGTCCCGCCCGAGGGCCTCGGTCCCCTCGAGCTGGGCCAGAAGCGCTGCATCCGAGTCGAGGGAAACAAGATGCCGATCGCCGTCGGAAAGATGCTGGCGCGCGTCGGCGCGTGCGGCCCGCTCCTCCCCGGCGAGGACCCCGAGCGCGCCGCGCCCTCCGCACAGGTGAGCGCCGCCGACGTCAAGGGCAGCGGTATGAAGGGCAAGGGGATGGAGGCAGCAGCCCCGGCCGCTGCGACGGCCGCGCTCCCTCTGGCGCCGCTGAGCGCGTCCTCCCTCGCGGGCAGGTGAAGCATGTGTACCACGACTCGCTCTGGGCCTACTCGGGCCGCAAGGTGCCGAACGACGGCTTCCTCGCCGACCAGGTCGTCGCGTCGGAGGGAGCACCGCCTGCGGCCGCCGCCGCCGCCGCCGCAGCAGACGAGAGCGACGAGGAGGAGGCGGAGGAGGAGGAGGCGGAGGCGGAGGAGGAGCCGATGGCGCCGGACGAGCTAATGAACTATTGCTTCTACGCCGCCCTCAAGACGACCTGCACCGACGCCGAGCTCCCCCTCTCCGCCGACAAGTTTTACTCGCACCACATGCAGCCCGCGCGGCCGGCAAAGCAGCCGCCGCTCGACGCCAAGAAGTCGTCCTTCAAGCAGATCGGCAAGTTCATCAAGGCGATGCACAAGGCCAAGGCGATCGCGGTGCGCGAGGTCAAGAACGTCATCACCATCCTCTCCGTCGACCGAGCCGCAAAGGAGCGTCACCACCCGCCCCACCCGCCCGCCCACCCATCCCGACCACCCCCCGCCCGCCCACCCCGCCCCTTGCCTTCCCCCGGCCCCATCCCCGACCCTCGCCCGCTCCACCACCCCAGGACTACCTCGCCTTTGAGCTCCGCGGCTCGTCGCGCGCCGTCCGCGCCTCCAACACGCCGGCCGACGGCGGCGGCAGGGACGAGGAGGTCGTCGCCCTCCGCACCAAGCCCCCCGTCGTGACCGAGGAATCGCAAGAGAAGCACACGTGCACCAGGCCGCCAGGCAGCCCTCCCGGGACGTCCTCGCACCCGTTCCCGTAGGTCTGGCAGCCGAACTCGTACACCAAGCCCCTCTTTGTCGAGATGGGGCACGACAAGGCGGACTACTTCACCACGCAGGAGGCGCACGCCGTGCTCGACCGCTACGTCAGCGAGAGGCTCGCCGGAGCCGCGGCCGCCCCCTCGAGGTCCGCCGCAGCAGCAGCCCCGCCTGCAGCAGCAGCCCCGCCCAGTGTGGAGGGATGGCTCGCGGACGCTGGCATCCCGGCCGCGCGCGCAGCGGGCTACGCGTCCGCCCTGGCGGCGGAGGGCTTCGACTCTGTCCGCGCGCTCCGCGCCGGCGGCCTCGCCGCGGCGGACCTCGCCGGGCTAGGGCTGACGCAGCCGCACGCCGCCGTGGCGAAGGCTGCCCTCGACGGCGAGGTTCGCGCTTTCCTCGACGCGGCGGGCGCGCCCGCGGCGGCGGCGGCCGGCTTCGCGTCCGCCCTCGCCGCCGACGGCTTCGACTCGGTGCGCGCGATGCGGGCGCACGGGCTGCGGCCCGAGGAGCTGCGCGGCTTCGGGCTCGACGGCGCGCTCGCGACGGCGGTGGCGGCGGCGCTCGCCGAGGCGCCAGCCGCGTCGGGCGCCGGCAGCAGCGGGGTGGACGAGAGCGCGGCGCGCGGGGACGGCCTCGCCGAGCGTGGCGGTGCGAGGGGCCGAGGCCGTGCGGGTGCGCCTCGCCGTAGGTGCCGATCGACGAGATGCTGCTCGAGGCGCTGGTCAAGGTCGCGGGCGGCGTCAAGAAGGGGACGACCTTCCCGAGCCACCTGCCGCTCTCCGACCTGCGCGAGCGGCTCGTCGAGCGGATGAGCGCCTTCCACCGCGTCACCGTCGAGGGCGAGGCGCCGCTCTTCAAGAAGGGCGCCCTCAAGCTCATCCACATCCACCTGAAGCGCGCGGCGGGCCACAACAAGACGCACATCAGCGGGCTCGACTCCGCCCCCCTCTCGCCGCGCAGCAGGCGTGAGCGGCGCCCCTTCACGCGTCCGGGGTGTGAACAGGCTCGAGTCGTTCCTCATCTCGCCCGACGCGGTGGCGCAGGCGCGAGGCCCGCGCGGTGGCGCCGCCTGGCCGACGCCCCGCGGCCTCCCCCACACCGCCCCTCTCCCGCCGCCGCCGTGGCAGGCGCTTTTCCAAAAGGTGGGTTTTCCAAAAAACGGGCCTTCCCGGGCTGCACGACTGCCGTCCTAAAGCTGCCTGGCAACAACGTCAAGGAGCAGGAGGTGCTGCTGCAGGGCCACTGCCTGAACGAGGTCGTCGACTACCTTCGCGACGCCTACTGCATCGACAAGAAGTGGGTCGTCCTGCCGACGCCCAAGAAGAGCGGCTGAGGGTCGCTCACCTTGCCAGTAGCTTCCTGTCTGTGTTACGCCATGTGCCGCTCGCTCGCCCGCCCAAGTGACTTGCAAGCCTTTGCTCGGGGGGCGGGCCGGCGCCGAGGTGCCGCCGGCGGCGGGCTAAATAAATAAATAAATAAAACGGACACCTCTACTAGGAGATGGGTAAAAAGGAACAGGTCCCCGCCCTTGCGATCTTTGTGCAGGGTTCTTTGTGGGTGTGGTCGGCGACTAGCCGGGGTCGTCCTCCCGATGGGGGACTAGCACCGTTAGCCGTCTTCCACATGGTCCCTGGTCCCTCTCGCGTCTCGGGTCCCTGCTGCTCCTAATCTCTTCGTACATCCTCCTGCTGATCTCCGCAAAGTCCTGCTCCCTCCCTCGTCTCGCCCTGCGCGTCTGCTCCGCCTCCCCGTCGTCCGCCCTGCGTCGTCTGGTGACGGGTCCTCCATACACCATAGTCGGTTGAGCTTGAGGTCGGCGAGCGCCCCTCTTTACGTTTTGATGCGCGGCAGCGCGCGTGTGTCGCGCTGCGCGCGTCTCGGTGTAGCTCCTCCTAAAAGTGTTGATGAAACAACGAACCGCCGGCCGCGCGCACAGCTGGGCCTGGCGCCTGGGTGGCCGAGCGTTTTTGAATTTGATCTCTGGATGAGTGGGGGGCCGAGCCGCCTCGGGGTGGCGGGCGGGCGGGCGTTTTGAAAAACAGAAAACAGAAAACAGAGGGGGGCCAGGGCCCCCACTACGATTAGACACACGCACCTGGCTCCTGGCGTCCTGGGACAAGGGGCGAGAATCGCACAGCATGCAGTTCAGCGGAGAGGGGGGGGGGGGGGGGAGCCGAGGGGGCGACGTCCCGACACGGCAGCTTGGAGCTGACCCCCGGAGAGAGAGAGAGAGAACAGTGATGGCGCCCCCATATGACCGTAGACAGAAATGACGAGCCGACAGCGATGCAGCGGCAGCGAATGCGGCGAGGAGGGCCCGCTGCAGAGCTCCGCTGTTACTTTGGGGATTGGGGTCACACTCACACCCGCACGAGGTAGGCGGCGCGCAGCGCCGCTCTCGCAGGCTGTTTGTGACTGTTTCTGGATTTTGCTTTTTGTTTTCAGTCTAGGGGGCCCGACCCCCTCAGAGGCGGTGGGCGGGCGCCCACTCACCCAGAGATCAAGAACGCTCGGCCCGGTGCACAAAGCCGATAATCGCCGCTCGCCGCGCCTTCTAGTTCTACGCGCCGCAACAACCAGTCGCGCCGCGGCGCTAGCACACGCCAAAAACGCCAAAAACGGCGCGCGCCGCCAGTGTTTGAAGTCCGGGGGGGCGGCGGACCGGAGGTCGGAGGGATGGAACGGATGTGCGCCCAGGGCGGGCACCCGCGGTCTCTCACGTGCCCAGGGCGCAGGGGGCAGAGCAAGACGAGGGATAAACGAGCTGCGGACTCGAGTTAGGACTGGTCTTCGCAGTGAGAAATCACTCTTATCAGCAGAGGGGCTGTACTGCTCCTGGACCCGAGGGGCGAGGGGCGCGATGTGCGGTGTCCCGTAGGCGACATGGTGGGGGCGAACCTGTGCTCCTCCTGGTCCCATGGCAGCGGCCGCGATCCTTGTCGCTTGACGCTTGAGGCACCAAACCACCACGAAAACGCCATGCGATTTGGAACGTTTCAGTGTGCTCACGGCGTAAATGAAGGACGCGCTGTTCTGAACACCAGACATCTCGACCACAGAGAGGCTGGCCCTTTTCGGAGTCACGCACGCAGCCCGACCATGGTGCACGGACGCCAACCAAAACACGCAGAGTACCGTCCCGCGTGAGCGAGAAGGGCGCGACTCGTCGGCCAGCTTGTACGGCGCACGCTAGCTACGCCGTGGGCTCAGCCCGTTCCGTCCCATCCGCCTCGTCGCTCACGCTGCGGTCGCGCGGGCTGCGCGGGCTGCGCCGCGCGCGGCGCGCGACTCGAGGTCGGCCTGGCGCTTGTCATCCAGGGCGTCCTTGTTTGCCTTGAAGGCGGCCTCAAACTGCTTGTCGAGGCCGATTTTGGGCGCCTTCTTTCCCCGCTTCTCCTTCTTCTCCCCCTTGACCCGCTTCTTCGTCGTCTTGGGCTCCTCCGCAGCCCCCTCCTCCTCGCCTTCGCCCTCGCCCTCGTCGCCCTCCTCATCCTCGTCCTCCTCGCCGTCGCCGTCGCCGTCGCCGTCACCCTCGCCCTCGTCCTCGTCTTCGCCACCCGCCTCGCCCCCCTCCTCGCCGGCGACGTCCGCGGCCTCCTCGCCGCCCACAATGGCTGCCTCGGCATCGGACGCGTCGATTCCTCGGTTCGAGAGATCGATCTCGGACTGTTCCTCCGCAGCAGTGACCGGCTCGATCTCGATCTCGGAGGTGGAGGTGGGCGCCATGTCGATGTTGTCGTGTCTGCGGGCAGAGCGGAGGAGACGATGGTGGTGGCGAGGGCGGCAGAAGGAAGGAAGGACGACGAGGGCCGAGAAGCGCCCGGGCAGGCTCCGAGCATCGGCGTGTGTATGAAGGGGGACGTTGGTGCTGTGCCAGGATGACAGGGCGCACGCGGCACGGTCGGGCTGCGTGCGGGAAGAATATCGCGTGCCGCACCTACGCGTCACACGCGCGGCGTGACGATGCTGTCACCGGCGACTGTTGTGCGGACGAGGAGCAGAGTGGTTTCAAGGGACTTCGGGGCGGGGCGAGAGCGGGTGTCGTGGGCCAGGTCGGGCATTGACGGCGGCTATAATATGATACGGCCGGTAATCGCGGGCCGGGGACGCGCCTGCAAGCGAGGGAGCAGGATCTTGCTAACACACGGGGAGCACGAGCGCGACGTGACGAAAGAGAGTGCCGCGGGCGGTGCAGGCGGTGTACACACTGGGCGGTGCAGGCGGTACACACAACTGGGCGGTGCAGGCGGTACACACAACTGGGCCGGGGCGAGGCAGCGGTGCAGGCGAGTGCAGAAGTGCGAGCGAGCCGCTACCTTTGGTCGTGGCAGGTGCGTTTTCGTGTGTATACACACCAGCTGGCTGTGTGTCTTGTGAGCCTGTTTGTGTCTGTGTGTCGCTCGTGCGTGCCGTCATCATCTGTCCAGCGTCCACCCATACCGCGCGTTGGTGTCTTGGCGAGCAGCGACAGCAACTCGGCGCGCAGAGTTTCAGAGGGCTCGGCCAGAGGCGGCGATGGTGATGTGGCCGTCCACCTCGACCGTGCCCGCGCCTCGGGTACGGGGCCGCCGCGGGGTTGGGTCAGAGAGACGAAGCGTGGCGGCGAGGGCTGCGACGTCTGCTTGTCGGCAGCGCGCGCGGATCGAGGGGGCGTGGGGAGGGAGGAGGGCGTTGCAGCGACAGCCGACAGAGGCACGGGCGATATGTGCACCGTCCGGGGTCTTTTTAAACAGACCGACGAGTGTCCCACCTCCCACCTGACTCCTGATTGCTGTGTGTGCTGACAGGGTCTCCTCTCTCTCTATCTGCGCGACATGTGGGCGCAAACAAGAAATTCGACGCCATGTGAGACTGGCTGGGCACGGGATGATTTATAGAAGAGAAATGGCGAAGCAATTTACGTGCTTCGCATCATTCTCCCTTCCCTGAGGGCAGCACACGTACACGGTACACAGAAGGTGAGACAGGACACGAATGAGGCGTGGAATGAGGAGAGATGGGGGGGTGCGGGGGGGGGCGTCAGACCAGACGCAAAGTAGAGTACTGCTGGATCTGTATCGGGCTCATCACGCCAGACACACTAGATGGAGAAAGGGAGAGAAGGGCAAGGTGGGTACCGCCCAAGTAGAGGCTCCTCAGCGCGCTCTCAGCCCTCTGCCGGCCTCGATTGGCCCGGACCCGACTCCCCCGGCCGCACGTCCGACACCAGGCGAGCAAGGCGGACCAGCTGCGGGTCTCTTCTTTCTGAAGGGGCGCGCGCGAGGAGCAGGTCAACCACGCCTCTGCAGATCTCGACTCCGTGCTCGAACCTCGAGACGAGCGCGATGAACCCCTCCGCCTCGCGCTGCAACAGGCCCTCGCTCTCGCCGCCTCGAGGGCCGCCGCCGCCCGCCTCTGCCGCGGTGCCTGCCTGCGCGGGTAGCTTCTGGTAGGCGGCCTCGATGCGGACGTACATGAGCAGCACGTGGGCCAGCGCCTGCGAGGGCAGGGGGCGAGGTGGGAGGGCGGGCATGCAAGAGAGCGAGAGGCAGAGGGCAACGCTTCCTTTGGTGCGTGCGCGTGGGCGCGCGGCCAAGTCGAGCGGAGCAGCTCGGCGAGCAGCGCGAGGGCGCCGCGCACAGGCGGCAGCTCGGCGAGGAAGGCGCGGCGCACTGTGGCGGGCGCAGCCTCTGGGTGGCGAAGCGGCGTCGAGGCGGCAGCTCCCACCTCCACATCCACCGCGCTGGTGGTTAGGACGGTTGCGGGGTCGGCCCCTCCTCCCTCCAGTCACCGCGCGCCTCCTCGTCGAGAAGAGCACACGCGCCCTCGACCAGGCGCGGCAAGCTGGCGCACAGCGACAGGCCGAGCTGCGGCAAGAAGGGCGGCAAGTGGGCGGCGTAGAGGCGGCGCGCCTCCACCTTGTCGCTGACGCCGAGCAGCTCCCGCTGCAGCAGGTCGACCAGCCTGCCCGTCTCGCAGCGCCGCTCCTCGGCGGCCAGCCCCGGCAGCGCCACGCGCCACGCAGAGAAGAGCAGAGGAAGCAGCTCGGAGAGGACGGGTACGTCGCGGAAGACGACGAGGTCGTGCAGCCGGCCGAGCAGCAGCGAGGCGTGCCACTGCACCTCGGGCGCGCGCAGCTGCTCGACGCAGTGGCGGAGCGCGTGCAGCACCGCGCCGCGCGCGAGCGGCTCGGTCAGGTCTGCCCAGCCGAGCAACAGAGGCACGAGCTTGTGCGAGTCCGCAGCGCCGCTCAGGTGGGGCCGCGGCAAGGCGCACACGCTCGTCGCGAGAGCGCGGGCGAGGCGGCGCGCGCGGTACGACGCGTTGTCCGCCTCCGCCGCGCGAAGCTTCTCG